CACCGCACACTGAAGATAGACTCTGACCTGGGGGATGCCTGGGCTGCCTTTTACAAATTTGAGCTCCAGCACAGAGGAACAACAAAAAGAGGTGAGGAAGTACTGTGAGAATGCCAAACCTCGCCATGGAGAGCTCTGGTGCACTGTCTCCAAGGACATAGAGAATTGGCAGAAAAAGACTGGAGAGATTCTTGTGCTGGTGGCAGCCAAGCTGAAAAATATCTTCTAGAGTGTGCTGGCCTCAGCTGCCTCACAGGTCTCTGTAGGATTTAACCTGTTTGTGGTACATTTGCCCTTTCAGTGGCACAAATTTCAAAGGACAGTGTTGGAGGTTAAGTTTCTTTCCTTTAGTTAATTTTTCCTTATAGAATTTTTTCCCATAAGTTGCTAGGAAACACTAATGATACTACTTCAGAAAAACAAAAGGGGCCAAGAAGCTCAGGAGAGGAGGGCATCTGGTTGTACTTTTCCTATCTGGGAGTTTCTCTCCAAAGGGCAGAGATACAGTGAGAATTGGGCAGGTAAAGGACAGGGCTGGGGCACCTGTAGCTCTCATTCTCGGCTGTGGAGGAGGTCGGCCGGAGCTTCTGCTCGGGGAAGGGAATTGGCTGCTGCCGCTGGAGCCCAGCCCAGAGCTGCTGCTTCTGCCGTGGGGTGAATCTCTGCTCCTGAGAGCAGCCACTGAACTGGGATCTTATTAACACCCACATGACTAAAAGAGGGACCAATCCCCATCTGCTCAGGTACCAGGGATCTTGAGCTCGTCCCTCCCTGCCCTGCTGGAGCCGGGCTGCCGCTGTCCTGCCCCCAGTGTTTCTTGGGCACTGCTCTGAGCTTTCTCTGCACTGAAACGCCGCACCCCGTGCCTGCCGAGACCTCCCGCGGTCCCAGCCACACCTCCGGAGCGTCTGATACATCTCGTCTAACATCCCGGGATTTTTGCTCATTCCTGCTGCCCAGCTTGCTGCTCCTGAGTGTCCTGCTGGAGCACCGCGACCAACACTGCCCCAGGGTTTGTGAGCAAAGCCTCTCCTCCATCCCTTCCCGTCTGGGACACAGTCACCATCACCCCAGCACCCCTGGGGGAATATCGCACCTGCCCTGTTCACTGGGAACCTGCCAGAGCTCACTGCCAATGATGATGGTAACTGCAGCACAGGGAAAAGTGCCCGCGGCTGAGAGGACTGTCACTGGGTTCCTGTTCTGTTTGGTGTTAATTCCATAGTTGTTGTTGTTTTGTTTGCTTTATTACACACACTAGTAAAGAACTGTTATTCATATCCTAATATCTTAGCCTGAGAGCCCCTTTATTTCAAAATTATAATAATTTGGAGGGTGTTTACATTTTTACATTTTCCATTCCAAGGGAGGCTCCTGCCTTCCCTAGCGGGCATCTGTCTTTCCAACCAGGAAAGACAGGACATGGATGATGACAGGAAAGAGCTTTTTCCCAGAAGGAAAAGCTGCTTGCTTCCTTCCTTCCCCAGCATGGCCATCAGCCTCTGTGTCACATAGGAAACAGGAGCAGTCTTGTGAGGCTCTGTTGACATTGCCATGTTGATTCCCGATTCCCCCCTGCACTGCAAACACAAGCTTTAATTAGCGCTTGTATGGATTCTGACATGTGGCAGTCCCTCTGCTCTTGGCCCCTGCCTGTGTTCCCTGTCCCTCTTTAGTGTTTGGCCCATCTGATATTGATTCCCTGTAGCAGATCTGGGTTGTTGCTGTTGGAATAAACTGAGTGTCCTAGAAGGAGATGGATGGAGTTCTGGGAGCAGCCCGGAAGCACAGGCAAAGGTCTGGGCTGACTCCTTTAGGTGCTTTAGTTTGGTCTCTGCAGCAAGCTGCTGCACAGCTTGGAGGTGTCCCTCCAACCTGAGCTGCTGGAGCATTTTGTCAAATTCAAAAGCGTATTTTTAGAGAACTTTTCCTCAATTTTTAAATGTATATAATAAAGCATATTCTTTTAGCTGTCTGAATTTATTAAGCACAGTGGTGGTTTAAAGTAACAAGGCAAAACTCAGCAATCCCTGAAAGCTCTTTTGAAGGAAGAACATTTATTTAGAGTTGTTGGGAGACTGTGCTGTTACACAGCTGTGACTGCCTGTGGCTGGGAGATTTGGGATGGCTCTCTTCAAGTGTAGATAGGAAAAAACAAATTTAAGAGGGAAAGCTTTGTGTTTGGGACCCTTTGTACACTGTCTTCAATTTTCTACACTTGGGAGGCGTACTATTTTCATCTCAACCTCCTGACTTTCTTGTGATCATAGAATGAGAAGCTGTACTGTCTTGCACCCCGAAGCTATAGCAGTTGTATCCAGGTCTGTGGATGTGCGTTATCCCATGTATTTAGTTGGAGGAGAAACTCCCTTATTATTTGGTGGAGAATATGTAGAAAATACAGCTTCTGTATTTTTCTGTACAAAAGGAAAGAAATCTAATCCCCAACACCAGTAAAACAGATAATTTATCAGTACACAGTGCAAACAGGCTGTTAAAAATAAGCAGATAAAACATACTCCTAGGAAGCCTCGGCCCACTGAAAAAATGCATGATTATGAGAAAGAGCAGAAATGGCTTCTCTCATCCATTTAAAAGTGTCCAGGCCCAGACTCAGGAAAGCATACAAGCTTTACTCCATTTTAATTGAGCAACATTGCAAAGACAGGCCAGCTTGAGGCACATGCTCACCATCTAGGCTTTTGCTTTCCTGCACTGGGCTGGAACAATATAAAAATGAGCCAGTGGTATGGACCTTTTGGTAACCCAGCATTCTTTCTCATCCCACTCTTCCACCTGCAAACTGACACTGCAACCAGTTTGGCTCAGATGCTTTCTCTAAAATAACTAGGGAGAGCTGACAATGAGGAAGAGCCCACAGGAGCAGGCAAAGGTACAGTTCTGGCTTCCTGGGCTGCCCTGTGCTGGCACAGGGGTTTACCCTGCTCAGGCTTACCCTTCAAAGCACTTTTTGAGCCCATCTGTCAGTCCCGTTAACACACCCCAAGGATCAGAGGAGATCCCATCTCAGGAGATGGGAACTCAACACCTGTGAAAAGCCAAGCCCAAGGTCAGCACTCTGGACTGTCTGGAAATGCAAAATTCAGTCTTTGCTGGTTTATATGGAACAGGCATTTCTGCAATCAATAAAAAAACCAAACCACTGAGTCCCCATGCCAAGTGCTTTCACTAACACACATCTCTGCCTTAGCCCATGTCCTGGGGTGACTATATGATGCTTGTATCCCCAACTGTCTGTTCTGTTTATGCTGGATATTAAGTTCTACACTGGTTCCAAGAGCAAAGGAGGGGGCAGAAGCAGTGTGCAGTTTGTTGCTCGCATGCATTCCTGCTCCTGGACTGTGCTGTCTGCAGCATGGACAGCAGGACAGAGCTTTCTTTTGATTTTTAGTTAGTCTTCAGCTAGCTGAGACAGAGAAGTTCCCTGGACAGTGGATTTTCCTTTTCTTGGAACCGTTCAACACTGCTTTGGGTCAAAATCTCAGAACACCAGGAGCTCACACCTGTGGCCCACCAGAGCTGGGATGTGGCATTTTCCAGTGCTGGAGGGACCGAGAGACACACAGTGAGCTGAGCTGTATGTCACCCCATGAAAAGAACTTTCTGAATCTGCCATTTATTCAGAACAATGATAGATTTTATTGTTTGGTATTGTTCATTTTTTTTATGTTTGTAGGTGCTTTGCTTGTAAAATAAACAGTTTATTTCCACTTTTCTCCAAGGAAATCTTTTCCCGAACGAGTTGGGGAAATTTGCCCTAAACCAGGACACCCATCCTGATTAGCACAGGGCATGTGCAGGCCACGGCTGCCTTTGGAAGAGTTCAAGGGATCCTGAAGAGACCAAAACAGCAGTGATTTTGGCAAGAACACACACAGCACACATGGCAAGTGAAAAGGGATAAATCTAAATACCACAACCCAAATACAACTATTTGTGAGCCCACTTGCCCTTAATAAAGAAGGAAGGGGGAGAAGTTGTTCTGGGAGTCCTCTCTTGGCTCTTCTGGTGTGACATGCATGAGGCCTGGCTACAACCATCACTGGATTTCATCTTAGCTATTTGGCTTCTGTAATTGGCAATGATCCCCTGGAGAGCTGAAGAAAGCATTACAGAAGTGCCCTCCCTTGGGTGGAGCCTGGCTCAGGGCAGGCCAAGGGGTGCACATAAGCCTCTGGCATGGGACAGTGATCCCAGGTGTCCCAGGATGGCAGAACTGTGAGCCCTCATGACTTGGTGTCCCTGAACTTGGGGCCTTTCTCTCCTTCAGGCAGCACCTGTTTGACATGAGCACCTGAATCAGGTATCCCAGGACTTTATTTTCTGAAACAATAAATTGTCCAAGCTTGCACTCGAGACAGGTGCCCTTTCCACAGGCAGAGCACAGCTCCATGCTCTCAGTTCCCTGTGGTATCCTCTGTACTGCTATACGTCCTAGACTGGGAAGAAAAGCCCATCTTCTGCTGCCACCATCAGTGTTGCTGCTGCAGCCAACAAAGTGGTGATGTGCACAAAAGAAGAAAACTTAGATGAGTGAGTTTGTGGGACACCCAAGCGGACTGTTCAGCTTGGGCTCAGGTGTCTGTATCACGATGAAGCACCCGAACTAATGGGGTAAGTCTTCCAGATATCTACCACATATTTGACACCAGATATTTAACCAACCACCAAAATCCCAAGGGATTCTGACTTAAAGCTTTTAAAACATCTTTTCTTCCCAGTTGCCCAAACGTGGTCAGATGGTCTCAGTATCACCCTCCAAGCAGAAGAAGCTGGTAACAACCTGGCTGCATGGCTCATTTTCTTTGCTATCCCAAACATACTTCCTTCTACTTAGGTTGAACTGGCCATCAAAAACGTGGGAAGAAAACTCAACTCAAGCCTGGCCAAAACAGCAACTCACACCAGCTATGGCTGATGACCAGGAGATTGTTACAGCATTTCTCTAGAGCAACAGAAGATGCTGGACTCCAAACACGTCAAAAGTCTGAGCAAATCTTTACTGTAGCTACAAGAGAACAGTCTTGGTGCTGCCTGACCTGTGCCTTAATATGAGATTGGTCACAGCACTTGTCTGTTCAACTGAAGTAGAAGCTATTTGATGATTTCATTACTATTAATCCTAATTTGCCTCTTGCTATAATATCCTGTGGAAAAAGAAAACAAAAAAACAGCATGGCTGGCTTAGATATTCTAAATATTACAGGATCTGTAAGCAAATCAGTACAGAAGGATCCCTTCAGTGCAGTCACTGAGTGCAGCGTTGTCTCCCCTACACTGGCAAACTCCATTTTGGACATCAAGCCTGGAGAAACAGTGGGCAACAGCAAATGTAGAGAGTGACAGAAATCCACCTTTCCTCCCTCTCCCACCTCTGGGAATGACCCTTCAGTTCCCAGGGAGCTCCTCAGCTCTCCCAGTCAGGCCCCCGCTGCATCCACTTCATGCATTTGTCCATTTGGTGCTCTCTCCTCTTTGTTTATTGGCAAAAACAATCTCCTCCTTTACATGATCTTGGAGCTAATATCTCTCTTACTGATCAGGACTTCCAGTAGCCTCAGCTTGGCCTTAACCTGCTTGTATTCATTGTACTCTTCAGCCATGGGAGTGCGGTCTTCTTTCTGCACATTCCTAGTGGGAGTGAAAGCAGACCATGAAGATTTCTGTAACAGGAAGCCTCCCCCAGCAGCCTCCCTCTGTCCAGCAACAAGACCTACAAAGCAGCTCCTCTCCTCCACTCCTGATCAGGGAACAAGACCAAAACATTTATTCTTTGAGCGAAAAAACACCAACAAAAAAAAAGGGGCAAACAAGCTGCTCCAACAAAGTGTGGGATGCTTGTGTGCTGAGGCTGAGCACAGCCCCACAGTTCCAAATGCAAAATCCTACTTGAAGCATGTCCTGCTTCTCTGAAACCACCAGCTCTGCAAAACAGCTGGAAAACACTTCAAGAGCCATCTGAGTGTCAGCCTGTGAGCCTGGCAAAATAAAATACAGCCTCCCCTGGCTTGGCACCACAGCACTTACACAAAGAGGCACTCTTGTGAAAAGAAAGATGGTATTTGATCAGATTGCTCTTGGTTTACAGGAAAATTTTAAGTTTTCTGTGATTTTACAAAAGCCCCTAAGGATGATGGCTGGTGGCAAGAAACAGACAAGATAAATTAAGAGTATAAATATCTGAAAACATTCTATCAGCTCGTTAATGAGGGATAGTTTCTTAAAAAAATAAAACCAGTTACACTAAAGCAGAAGTACTTGATAAAATTAATCTCTGAATACCTCACAGACAAGCAAGAACTAGGGAAAAAAACCCAGCTATTTTAACCCTGAATAACTCTTCCACCATTCTGAATATGGGTAAAGCAGTGATAATGATCATGAAGAAATACATAATATTGAATTCAGGTAACTTTGCATGTTTGGAGATCTTTGTAGATGCAAAACAGATTAAAAGTAGCTGAACAACAGTGATGCAGCTAAGAAATTGTTACCTTCCATTTTGTCGGAAAAAGTTATCTTCAAAGTCTCTCAGTTTTTTTCTGATTCTCTTTTTCTCTTCCCTGACTTCTTGGAGCTGCTCTAACAGTTCAGGGCTGTTGGGTTTAAAGATAAATGAGATTATCCATACATATGCAATAAAACCAGGAAACATACAGTAAACCTACACATGTTTAGTTGTATGTATGCCAAACAATGGAGCTGCTCCTGGGAGCAGTTCTGGCAGCCTCACATTACTTGAAACAAAAAGTTCTCTGAATTTAGTTCAGCAAAATGATCATAGCCTTAGGCTGCAGCCTCTAAGGAGGTCAAGTGTGCACTTCACAATTTACCACTAACTTCTATGAAACTTATCTCCTGCAGATGGGTCTGGGTTTGGTGACTTTTATAGGATCCAATTCAATGGTCACGACTTAGGGCTACCACATGTGTTTACACCAGACTTGGAACTAGCAAAGCTAGTTCCACTTGACCTCTTCGAAACATGAAAAACCTTCTGGAGTGCAGGGTTTTCATGATAAAAGCTTGCCACTGGTGGAATTACTATTTAGTGATGGAATCCAAAGGTGCATAAGCTAAGCATCAGTATCAGGACAAGGTAGTTTCTTCCCAAACCCTTTCCTATGAGGGTCTATTGCCTTTAAAAATGAAACATGAAAACTTCTGTCTCAGATCATAAGTAGAAAAAAACTCTAGACTCTTTTCTGACAAATAAAATCCTATCTTAGCAAGGAATAATTATTGCAGTTGCCTGTGAATTCAACATACATGGATGCTTCATGGAGATTTGAAAGCCCCATATCCTGACTGCTCCTAGATGGCATCTTATCATCCACTGGGGAAACAAAGCCAGCATCATCTTCTAGTTGATCCAAGAAGCTGCGCACACTGAAATCTGTTTTTATGGTAATTGTGAGATCCGGCTTCACATTGCTGTCCTCCTCAGACCCCTCCTCTTCTTCCTGCACACAGGAACAGAGCACCCCCACAAGACAGGTTATTGCTTCCCTTCTCAGGAACAGGCTCCTCCTCTCAGCACATGCACTCGGAACAAGAAGTGGAAAGGCAGAGCAGACACTTCAATTGCCAAGCAATACACAGGACACCAGAAGACCATCAGTAAAGACACCCTAGAACCAAAGCACGACAGAGAAACTGCCACCACAAACTCAGATTGGTTAAGGAGACCCAGAGCAACACAACTGAGTGAAAAAAATCCTTGGGGTTCAGAGCAACCTGCTGCTTTGTTTAGTTTATGTATTCTGATGTAAATGTTACATTTACAGTTGTTATACATATTGTCCAAAGCACACCAGCCATGCTCTGCATTTCCCTGTAAACACTTCCCAGCATAGAGACTGCCAGGGTAAAATGTGGAATTTTCTCTCATGAGATGCAGCTCAACAGCTCTCTCTAATGGCTGAATTCAAGACCTCAAATGCTCATACAGTGATACCAGTGAGCTCAGATGAGTCTTACAATTACCCAAATGTGGGATTGTATGATTGACTGTAAAAGGACTGCTGCTGCTAACATGTCCAAACATCAGCTCTGACCATTTTGCTGGAATATACCAAACACTGGACTGGAAACTGCACAGTGCAATTTCCCATTTCCTCAATGCACACTGATGAACTGGTTGTGTTCCATTTTTTTTTTACAAAATTTGTAGGCGTGAGATTTGAAAGTCCCTGCTGCACTTGATATTTACCAGTTCACTGTGTTCTCAAAAGTAGGGCTTGTCCTGTGACACTGCCTAGAAATAATTTTAATTATCAGGGAACAAGGCCCAGCCTCTTATGTACGGAGACATTTCTAGAAGGTAGTTTCCAACCTTAATATAAGGAATGAGGCTACTGGCAAATGCCAGCATGGACAGTAAATCTCTCAAATATGTATGTATATGTGTGTACATGTATTTATTTTACAGCCGTGTAACTCTAGCCAGGAAGGATCTAAGCACATTAATATCTATAAAAGCTTTTGGGGACTAGTATCACTAAAATCTTCAAGACAAAAATATATTGCAGCACTGGGATCAAAAGTAGACATTTTCTTGATTTGTTTATTCATGTAATTCCTTGTGAATAGTTGAATCATTCCTAAGAGACTGCTCCCATATTTCAAGCAAAAAGGGAGAAGGTAACACCAGGACCTGGCTTAGTCCCATTAAACCCTCAGTGATTTATAAATGCATACATTTAAATGGAATTATAGTTTGCTCAGAGTTTTCTTTTTAAGTTGGAGATCTAGGCCATGATAATACATTGCAAAGCCACAGGCTGAAAATTACAAACAAGACTGAGGCTGGAGGGTGAAAAAAACATCTGGGAAGAATTTTTGAATAGCAATAATAACAAAAGATATAGAGAAGTCTGAATGCATCTTAGGAAAATCTGCAGGGAACTTGTGTAAGGTGAAGCAATATTTAGCACATGATTAGACAAGACCCATTTCTCCAGACATCAATTGTACAGTTTAAACAGAAAGCACAAACCAGCAGCCAGGTACTGTTCTTAAACCCTACCAACAACTCCAGACTGAACTGGGGAGGGGAGACCATCTTTCACTGCCATTTCCCTGTTCCCAGGTGTGCCACCCTGCCCTGCCTGGGAAGGGCTGCAGCAGGAGAACATGGATCCTGCTCTGCTGTGGAGGAGGATTTGCTAAGTCAGTCTAAGCAGTAAAAGCAGCACACTTTGCTTTACAGGAATGTCTCTGGTAACAAAGGAGGAGCTCCCATGCCCTTTTCTGGGAGAAACTCCTGAAAATAAAGCAAAGGGACAATGTCCATAAGCAGTGTGACAAAGCTGCTCCTGAAGACAGATGCAAGGTGTTTTCCTCACAGACACCCATGAGCCTGTCTTGCCGTGCTGCCAGAGCCAGCAAGCAGCTCAGGAGCCAGCCTCCTGCCACGGGAGGCCACAGGAAGAAAAGAAAGTGTAGAAATTTCATTTAGACCTCGGAGCCAAGACACTGCATCTGTTTGTCACAAGACCTCTGAAATCATTTTGCTCTTAAATACAAAGGAGTGAATTAAAAGGCTTCTCAGCCAGAACACCAACAGAAAAGGTCCTTTAAGGCCTTCCCTTTAAAAATCTCATGTAGGAACCTCACTTTAAACCTGCAGCAACATTTACACCTTGAACCAGAATGATGCTGTTCATTTAGCAAGCACCTGCTTGGACTGTTAGGCAATCATGAGGGATTCCAGAGTAACAAATGTCAAATCCTCAGAGTATCCTATCATCGGCACTCCGGCAAAGAAAGAATCCTAACGATTTTTTCAACACAACATGCAAGACATTGTATCAAAACGTTTGGTAAGGTCACCTCAAAACACCTTTCAAGTTTTTAGTCAACTCTCCCAAATGCTTCAAGAAAAACTCACCCACAAATACACAAACACTGACATTGTCAGTGGCCTGTCAAATATTTCCCTGCCCATTGTGGACCTATGCAGAAGCTAAATTTTGGGGCCTTTTGCCAATTTCCTCTCTTTACTTCTGAGTGTAGTTCAGTACAAAGCTGTCAGATGCAGCTTCACAGAGCCCCATTAAAGTGTTAATAGGCACATCATGTTAACAGGCTGAAGGCTGCCATCCTGATCTTCTGCCAGAAACCCCTTCAGGTTTGTATTCCTTGCAGGACACTGCTGAACTGGTTTGGTGCTGCCCTGGCACAGCACCAGCCTGTGCTGGCCATCAGAGATCACCATAATTGACAGCTCTAAGTTCTCACACTGAGTGCAAACAGAGGTGGAGAAAAAAACGGACACACTGAAAGAAAAAAACAGAAGCAAACAAAAACACTCCCCAGCAGACCTGTACTGCAGATTTGATCCAGTGGTTATCTAGAAAATACTAAGAAGCTCAGTGATCATTAACCAGCTTCCAAACAGAAGCTTAACATCTTCAATCTGCAATCTGGTATTAAAGAATATGTGCCTCAAATAGTCCATTAATATACAATCCATGGACTCAATCACCTTGGATCTCTAAGTCTGCAGTATTTACATTTAACCAAGCTCTGGCTGGATAACAGAAATATGATTGAAATGTGCACTGAAGCACTTCTCTCCCTTGTTACACTGCAAGGGCCCAGAAAGCAAGCCAGGACCCAGCTCCACGCTGCATTTCCTGATCTGCTGTTGGACTTTGTTGTGATACTGGGCCTTCCCCTGAGGAATAATCTTCCCCACCCCGAATTATTACTCCACAGCAGCACACGAAGAAACAGCAACCCTGCCACCCAAATCTGACCAAGTATCAACTAGCAGAACTAAGCTCTTCTTACTTCCATTGTCATTAAGTTAAAAACACCCTGCACAAGGTGGTGGGAAAGAGCCTGGATAAATAAGTGGATAAATAAGTAAAGTGCCTCGGCTGGCTCCACGTGCGAGGGTTAGTTTTGTGAGAGCTCATTCCTGCCACGGTGCTGTGTGCAAGCCACAGAGCCTGGGAGTGAGAGAAACTACTGCAAAACAAGTTAGTGTCTTTTAAAAGAAAGGAGGAAAGCAAGAAAAAAAGCAAGGTACAGAGGTAATTGTGACTTTTAATTTTTTAAAAGCAAAATAAAATACATTATGTGCAGATGGAGAGGAAAGGAGAAGGATAGAAAAGAATGCAAAGCCAAGGAAACACTGTAGTCTTATCTACAACAAGGGAAGAATTTGATCAGAATTGGCGAGGCTTAAAGCAGCTACTGATTTTTCAGGAGGACACTGCAAAAAAATCAACACTGATAAAAAAAAAAAAATCAATCAACCATTCTGTTTCATTGGAATAAGGGGAAAGTTGATGCAAACTGAGCAATTAGTTAGCAGCTGGAGGTCTTCACCTTTATCTCCTTGAAGAAGGAAGCTGTTTCGCCCTCGATAATTGGCTGCAGCAAAGGGCTTCTCCGCTTGCTGGAGGGGGAACCCTGTGACAGGTGTTAACAAGTATGTTACATTGTGAACCCCTTTCTCCTCCACCACCTGCTCTCAGCTCATTCTCACCCACACATTCACTCTCAGCTCATTGCTGGACCACCAGGAGGAATATCTTTCTCAAGGAAGAAAAACAGGCCGGGCAAATCCCCTGAACCTTGGGCTGTTTTCTCTCAGGATGTTGCTTAGCAAAGGACACCACTGCCAATCTGTTTTTAAAAAGAAACTTAGATGATTATTAGCTGGGTAGTGACTACAAGACAAAGGATGCAAGAAAATAATCCCCAGCCCAAGGCCCATACACACACAAAGCACTTGGCTGGCTCTCCAGAGCTACAGGGTAAGCTCAGCCAGGCTCTCCAGATTTGCTTTCCAGGAGCCTGATTTCCCACTGAAGTACCTACTAATGTAGAGATGGATTTTCAAACGTATCCTATCTCTCTATGAACCTCTTACTGTTCTCACTCAGAAGACTGGGGATAAAAACAGTCTCATCTCTCCTCTGCTAGCCTCTGTCCATTTTCAGTTTTGTGTCTTAGCAGGACCTGGGCTCTCTTTGACAGCTTGCATTAAACTGCCCATGCACACCTACATAGCTTCCTCCTTGATTGCCAGCACTGTCTTGTCATCACACATTTTGGGGACTATTTTTCATATTCCAGGAGGAACAGCTTTTTATTTTTTTTTAAATGTAGGACCAGGAACACCTCCCAGCATTTGCAGAAAAAAGCCCCACGCCTCAGTGACACTGCACTGGGTAATGCTGTGCCAGCCCATTTACTTCACTGGCCATCTACAGAATGTGGGCAGGACATGAACACTACTCAGGAAAAGCAAAAAAGTTCATACATGACAGACAGAGTAAACAGGAACTTTGATAAAAGAACTCTCATTTCATAGACAAGATTGAAGTATTCTGTTTGGGTTTTTTAGATTAATTAATTTTTAAAAACTGGACTACACTAAGCTGTCTAAAATGAAAGACAGTGAATTTTCTCCCTAGAGGGGTGTACTGGGTTCCTTGCTGGTGGCAAAGCACCACCTTGAAAGAGGGAATATCCACCACTTAAGAGGATCTCTTTAATACAAATTAAGTGTTAGAAGACTGAGGGCCCTTTCTTTCAGCCAAGGACACACTTGGCAACTCCTGTAGGATCTACTCAAGTCTGTGTCCCTTTGTACAGCAACCCTGGACATGCAACCCTGTGGAACCAAGCAGCATGGAAGACCTACGGCTCAGTGTGGGCTGGTACGGAAAAAGAAGTGAGGCTGTAGCCAAACAGAGGATGGATGAAATAACAGCAGCAGCCCAATGGGAAGAGAAGAAACAATACAAGGTGAGATGTACCCCATGGCTCACAGGTGGGCACTAAAGTCCCTCGACCAGCTTTGCCCAACTTCAGTACAAAGTGTGTCATTGATTCACTCATTTACTTGATCTCTGAGTGATAAGGGAGGTTGGGACTTAGCCTCAGTGATTGTGTTGTATGCAAGTGTGGCGATTCCTGCTTCCTCAGCTTGAAACCAAAGAAATAGCCCACAAAAGAATGCTCTACTCACAATAATAGGGATGGTGTTGGCTCTGGAGAGGATCTGTTTGACCAAGCGATACCTGTCATACAACGGCTTCATCACCTGCCGTTCATTTTTGGTAACCTGAAAAGGAAAAGGATGAGACATCCATGAAGCCTGCAACAAATACTCCACTCCAGAACTCACGTGCCTGTGATCACCCTCAGTCTGAGGGGCTTGAAGAGACTTGTATGGGGGTAACAGGAGTGCAGCATCAGATCTGAAACTCCTGTCTATCACTGCATCACCTGTCCCTGGTGCCAGCTGAAGCAGTGTGGGGTGTCTTGTAAAGGGGCTGTAAGAGACAGGAGGTTTAAATGACCAATTAGGGATGAGATGTCCACAGCACAAAATGACCTGCAGACAGCACTCTGTGCTTGCAGTCATGTCTGCCACCCTAAGCACAAGATGAGCTGTCCCATCCTTGTTCTTGTGGCCGGCCCTCAATAGCTGTGTTCATGACCCATGAAAAGAGAAAGCAGCTGCACTGACTGGATGTTGCAATGTGAGGAGATTTCCCTTGAGTATGGTAAACTACAGATTTCACAAAAGCTGATTTTCTGGCTTTGCTATTCCTAATTTCCTGCACAAGCCAGCAGTTTTCCCTCCTTTTAGCCCTCAAACCTTGCCCTCCATTCCTCCTCACAGTCACTTTGCTGGGAAGGATTCACTTCAATGATCAGAAGAGATGAAGGTGCCAGGGCTGTGTGGCATAGAGAAGAGAGAATAGTGCTGTGATGTCCACCTCAGGTGTTCCTTATACTGCTCTGTCCTTAACCCAACTCCTCCTTACTGCTTTTGTGCTCCCTCCCCAGTTTTGGGAGCATTACAAACTGAGTGTGTTCATTTCTGGTTTTCTTTCAGATTCAAGGTGGGTTTCATTGCTTCAGTGTTTTCTTACAGCACATTAGAAAACAACCATAATCCTCAGCAAAACCTGATCATCATCCAGCACTGTCTGACCCACATCCTATAAGTGTCCTTCCATTACATCTTTTGTCTAACTTTAGATTATAAAGCTCTTACAAGGAAGCTTTAACTGATGTCATGCCTTTCTCTTGCTGCTAATCACCAGAGCACCTGAAGAACTGCCATATAAAAATCAGCATAAACAGCGTAACCCCTAGGGAGTTTTGTGCAGTCTCTACAACAGAAATAGGAGAAAAGGGAATACAGCTTGAGATAGGGAGGCACTTTTAAACTGCTTTTTATTTTGTCTGCAGTTGACTTTCACTGGCATAATCTTTGTAAAGCTTTTACATTCTTCCTCCAGAGAAAGAGATTGTTTTGGCTTGTGAGGGGCAGAAAGGCTGTAAGTATTGCCAGGAATGGGGTGGCAGGGATGAACTCTTAAGAATTTGGAGGTAGATAACCTCCAGAATCTTCCTCCTGATAACCAAGCCTATGTTCCCTATGTTTGGGGCAGATGAACAGGGAGGAAAAGAAGGAAGATCTTTATTCCTTTCCTGGTTCAATGCAATATCCCCAGACCTGGTAAGGGGCATACAGATGGGCAGTCTTGAGCTCTGGGGGCAGAATGTCCAACACCCTCAAAGCACAGCAGGGCTCCAATTCCTGACAGCCTCAAATTGCCTGTTCATTGAGTAAGCAGCTGACGGATTAGAGGGATGTGAGCAGCATCAAACAATTCACAGTCCTCTTTGTGCTGAGTTTTCTGCTGATGTGCCTGCACTCAACTGCACTGGCTAGCAAGTTGCCTCCAACTTTGGACATTTCTCTGTAACCCACCCAGAATACAACTAGAGAAACTGGGTAACCTAAGTAAATATATATAATATTATTCCTAGCTTTACAAGATTAGCAGTTTGTGGAACAGGAGGTACAGCACTACTATTGGCTCAGACAGTCTGTTACTCAAAAAAACCCCAAAACTATGATGAGGCTTATGCTGAGGCTGAGAATCAAACCTTCAATTAACAACATTTCAAAGCTGATTAACAGCACTGTTCTGTACAGAAAAATAAACATAAGCCTTGGAATGGGTACAAAGTCCTTAGGTATGCTGAAGAATGGAAAAGTTAAACAACATCCTTCAGTGTCTGAACATCAGTGTGAAGGAGCAACACAGAGAACTACTATAGGCATTGCAAGTTAAGCCTATGGAGTCTGAGCCTGCCCTGCAGCTCATTTACACCAGCAAACTACAGAAAGCATATTCTGAAAGTAAAAGTCTAGCACATGGGCACACTGTCTCATTAGGTAAACATAAGTAAAACCAGTAAAACCTGAGTATATTTTGGGAGAACATCAAAATGCAAAGAGACTGTTTGAATAATGGAACCTTTGACACAACTCTGGGGCACACTCCACATGGCAAATGGTCTGAGAACAGACCATTGCTTGCACTGTTAGAGCAACTCAAGAATCTCTGCAGAGACAGACTTTTGGCTTAACTAAAACAGTTCAGTTCCACCTTTGCAGGTTCATCTATCACTGGTGCAGAAAGACCCAGCTGCACAATAAATCTGAGCTCCATTGTTTTTCTTGTTTAGTTAAATATCTTTAAGGAAAAAAAAAACTTTGGCTGCACTATCCACATTCTCCTCAAGCTCTCAGTACTTTTCCACTGCTGCACTGCCAGGAGCTGGTAACAGCAAAAACTGATCAGTCTTCCCTGCCATGCAGTTCAGTGTTGCTAGGTATAGAGAGCTTACTTAAAAACAAAACAAATTAAAAAACAATTGTATAAATGAAGCATTGGAAAAGGTAGGTGGAAATAAAAGTATGCTGACAAGATAGGCTCTGGGCTTCTTATCTTTTTGAACAGATTGAAGTGAGTTCACTTCAGTAAGATGCCAGCTGTTGATTCATATCATTGTAAGAGCAGCAATAAAAGACTTGGTCTCACAGAGAACACAGGGAAGGTTAAGTGGATTCCCTTGGGCTGCCCTTTTTCTATTTTACACAAGAATAAATCTGCCTGTCCTCTCACATAACTATGCCATCTTGCCATGTTGCTAATACAGTTGTGACTGTACAATATTAGCACTCCATGAAGGCATTTAAATAAATTAGTGAGATATTTAAAAACAATGGATAAAGAAAGACATAATTTGGAAGGAAAAGATCAGGAATCTCGTCCAGCAGCAGAATGACGGATTTGTGAGCTGCACCAATCAAGTACTCCTTATAAGCAGTAATTTGTTGCTCCCAAGCCACTGCTCAGGGGATTAGCAGCACTCTGAAATTAAGTTAGTTTACCTATACAGCTGGCCACAAAGATTATAATGTCATCAGTGAAAGAGAAGGAGGGACTCATAAAAAGCCAACTTTATGGTCTGGAAAGCCACTGTGTTTCTGCAACAGCTGGGATGAACAAGAGACAAAACTTAATTCTCTGTCTTCACAAATAAGTTGGCCTTGTTAAGACCAAATGTACAAGAAACCTTATACCACTGATATCAGCAAACTGCAAACTTCCTGGCTGGATAGAGGACAACTATTCCCATGCAGACTGTCTACTGGGCCACAAATCTGCCTATGAAACCTCATGAGCACAATGCCAAAATAATGCCCACTCAGCCTGTAGGCTCTGTCCTGCAGGTGTCTGTCCAGCCCAGTGCTGTGTGAGAACATCACTCTGCCTGGAACAGACTCCTTAGCAGCTGCAGAAGTGAAGGATCAGGGAGGTGGATTAGAGGGTGCACGTGTGGTTTGGAGAGCAAGAAGTTCTAGTGACCTGACATCAAAGGGGCATTAGGGGCATAATTTGCCACAGACAAAGACAGAAAGATGCAGTTTGAAAAAAAAGAAAATTTAAAAAAACCGCTGCAGTACATACCGGTCTGCCATGAATGCCTTCATAATACAGCAAAGCTTTTTGAAGAGCCACTTTTTCAGCTGCTATCTGATCTCGTGTCATGTCCTATGAAAAGTAGCACAGAGAGAGGGAAAGGGAGGAAAAAAAAAAGTCAGATTCCTGGACTCAAAAAAATACTGATCTGTGCCATAACCAAAGTCATGTCATACTACCATTACGTTTTAAAGATCCATCTCTAGCTTCCAGTTGTCTTTTCCCAGCTACATTGCCAAAGAGACTACTGATGTGAGTAGAACCCTATGTTCAATGCAGGCAGATTAAACACACAAACTTTACTTATGAAGGTATTTTATGTTCCTAAGGTGGATTTACAGATTGTAAGTGTGCTTTGAAAAACAACACTATACAACTTTTAATGATGGTGGATCTTCTTCAATTAAGATCTGAAACGTAAATTCTACAACAGAACACGTCCTTCCTTTTTCTTCAAATCTGAGACAAACTCCAGTACCTCTGGTAAAGCGTGACACCTTTGCTTTGACTGTCACAAACACACTTTACCAAGAACTGAAGTGCAGTCAGATTGTTTCTTTCTGCCAATTCTGCTATGGAGTGAAAAGCTGTAGCAGACAAGAGGACAAAGCCAAAAAAAAAAAAAAAAAAAAAAAGGAAGACAGTTAAGAGAAGACTTCTCTAAGTTGGCCAAAATTTCCCCACTGAATTTGCCTGACACCAAGCCTTTTCTCCCTACCATAGCACCAAATACTATCACAGTCCCCCTGTAAGTGGCCAGGCTGCAGATGCTTGCTACAGTCAGAAAATAGTCAAAACACATGCTGTATGTTTTTCTTCTGCAGATCTAGCAAACAAAGATAATGCTGTCTGCCTCACTCTTATACAGGACTGCACAATTTACATGTCAGCAGACTCAAGGACTTCATTTACAAGGCTGCCCAAACTCAGGAGGTCACAACATCAGACACGAACACCTCCCTGCTGATAACCTTCAGAGATTAGAGCAGCTAACAGAGCTCAGTGTGAAACTCCAAAGGTAAGCAGTAACACACCCTGAGATAATAACATTCAGTTTTGGAGTGAACAAGAAGCAAACATGACACAATCTCCAGAAGCACTGGAAGACTCAGAATTTGACAAAAACCTTTGGATGTAACAACAGAAATAGCCAAACATAGGGCAGGAAAATGGCAATAATTCAGAAACGTTATTAGGAATATACAAGGGTCAGACAAAGAACACAAGGTGACATACAATAGAAACTGAGCTCTGGAAAAAAATCAAGATACTAAAGGCAGAGGGAAAGGAACTAAAGCAAGTGAGCCCAGACTAAAGGCTGCAGACTTTTAAACAAAATGTAGAAGACCAAAATTCTTTCACAAGTGACTGTGCAGCCACAAGTAACCTATTTAAAGGCCTAAATGTGACCTGTCTGCATTGTACCTTAATGTCTTCAGGTCGATTTGTCTCTGCTCGTTTCTCTTGAAGCTTCTTCTGGATGGAGTCAAGGGTCACTTCCACGGCAGGCTTGGCAGATTTATCTGACAGGTCTTGCTTCTTGTCATCCTCCTTCTCCAGCTGAGACCCGAAGCTCTTGGGGAGTGTGTTGCTGCGCTGACGCACAACAGGGCCAAGGTCTTCCTCTGATATCTTCAGTTTTGACTCTGAACAGGAAAAGATGAGCAATTTTTCATTTTTAAAATGTGACAGTGTCAGGATCACTGCCTCACATCAAATGTAAATGAGGCATTCAAGCTACTCCCCAAAGGTGCACCAGTGGTGGCTGCTCACCTTTAAGTTGCTTTCGGAATTTGGCCAAATCATTTGTCCATTTGAGCACTTCAGGGTTGGCTGCTTTGTCACTGTGGGAAGGCTGGGAGGAAAGAAAAGTCACGCTGAATCTGTGTTAAACCACCAGGAACGATTCACTGAAACAGGTGTATGGCACAAAGAGGTACAATGGAATTTGGATCGAGCACAGGCACTGGCTTCTGGCTGGCAGCTGCACACCTCTGACCAGCTCATTTCAGACCTTGCTTTACTTGCTCCTGCCTGTCACAACACTGTCTTAGGGGCATCATTAGGGGCATTTTATTTTTCTAAAACACAAAACATTTCATGCCTATGATTAAGTTGTAGGAGTGACTCAGAGGGCTGGATGCACATTGGAATCCTTTGTTTTCTAACAACAGGGTACCTCTAAAATAGAGGAGGCCTAGCATGAACAGTTGGAAAAGTGTTACGATACATGTATCCACACCAAAGGCTGCCCTACATTCAAAGAAATCAAATAACCCAAATTCTAGGCTACAGCAAGCTCTGAGCATTTTTTCAGCCTTTCCTACTGCAGGCAAGATCTTCCCAGTACAATTCTCTACAGTTTAGATAGCCAAAGATGCACACATGCAAAGCTTTACAGTTCCTTACAAAGCTTTCTGTGCATCAGAAGGGCATGTCAGAACAATTAAGAGTCCAGTACACTGCTGCTGCTCAGCAGCACTTGACTGTGGTTCCTTGCTCAGGAGTGAAGGCAGCTGCTCTCTCTCCTCTGCAAGACACAGGTGTCCTGGGATTACCATCATGCAAATGAGATCAGCAACTGTGCTTCCCATATGCTGAAGTTAAATAAACAGAAGTTGAACACAGCTATTCCTACACACTGTCTTAAGCAGTGGTCAAAATCCTATGAGTTCATTAGCCTTCCTCTCTTGTGCTGCATGGATATTGCATAATACCTGGGCAGGTAATTTACTCAGTGTGCATACATATTTCTAGGGGGGCAGCAGGTCTTCTGCCTTTTTTTCCCCTTTCCTCGTTACAAGCCCTCTGTATCTTTGGCATATTTCCCTGATGTCCCTCTGTATGCTTGACCCACTTCCCTGGTGTCCCTCCTCTTTGCTGCTAATGCATACATCTCCACATAGATGCTTAACTCCTAGAGACTCACTCTGTATTTCCTCTCCTCTTCAAATTTGTCCTCAAATTTTCTGATCTTTTTCTTGAGCCCCTGAATCCTCCGGGTGAGTTGTGCAGGGGTAAGGTCTTCTCTGTCGTCTTCATAAGATCCTAAAGATGAACTCCGTCTCCTGCCAAGAGCAGAGATTGCAGGAAGAGTTTATCCAAACATCTTTATGCAGAGAAGGCCACATCAACTTTGTGTGAATAAAGGCAGGGCCCACAAAAGTGAGAATGCTATGTTGCTACTCTGCAATGACAGCAAAAGATGCTCTAACATCCTCTTTCAGCAAGTGCCTAGATATTAATGCACAAACTCAGAAATTATTAACTACAAAGAACTTTTTTTTTAAATGTCAGTTCTCCATGAGTAGGGACAGAAACCCAACCCAGCACAGCCAATTCAAAGAGATGCTGCTTGATGCAACCGTGAACACCCTTTGCAGCCGCACGTGAAGGTCAGCACTGGCAAATCCCAACCCACCTCATGAAGGAATGAGAATTGGGAGGAGAAGGAGGCACTTCTGTATCATCCAGGTACTGCTGGCTCTGTCCGTAGGCATAGAAGCGAGGGGACAGCATAGGATCGCTGTCCTCATCCAGAAGCTGGCGAATCAAGCGCCCGGCCTGCGGGGAAAGGCGAGCCTCATCTGAGTCTAAGCCGTCTCGCTGCCATGAGGAGAGAGCAGGGATGGGCTCTGGGAACAGTAAGACAAAGGCTGGTTTTATCAGGTTTGTTTTACACATAAGACAGACTCCAGGTAACTTTCTGATAAACCTTGACCTACTCGTCCTGTACTGTGACTCTTCACCAGGCATTCTCTGGTCACTACTCCCATCTGCCCTGTGTGCAAAGCATTACAAAGCCTGGCCACAGCAGGTAACCTACAAAAATATAAAGTCATCTCTTAGGTGCAACAGGAAACTACCCAAAAGCTGACCAGGAATTACCATAGACTGACACCAAACAAGGCAATCGCCAGCTGGCACCTTTGAGGAAAAAGTTATTCTAAACAGAGAGCATTACTGGTACATGGTATATAGAAAAGTCAATTGGATTCCAGAAGGAAGTTTTTTCAGTTTCAGGATGCACAAATGCTGTAAATGAATAGTGTATTAATGGTTCTCCTAGAGGCCCCAGACCTCCAATGTGACCCTGTTGACTGCTATTGGAAATTCAAGGCCTAGGAGTAAGATAGGTTCTTCTAATCTGCAAGCAAAAGCTGCCTCACATTACCACATGTTCCACAGGGTACTTAGCCCACATATTAACAATTATAGTAATATGGTCTGAGTTTCCCCTTTTCCCTTTCACATGCAATCCTGCTGCTTACAGCATGGTAGAAAAAGTGAGGAAATCTTCAGTCCCCTGGACAACCTAACCAGCCAGAAGTAAAAGCTATGTTGTACAGGGAGGTGGTGGAGTGGGAGAGAAAGGGAAACCCAATTTAGCACTGCTGATTAGCATAATAGAGCCTACAGAAAGCAATCGCCTCAATCTTGTGATCACTCCCTCCAGATGCCATAAGGAGTCTAACATTTTGTGTTCAGATAGTTTACTAAGCTGATTTGCATGCTCCTACTTAAACTGTCTAATCCTGTGGTGCTAAGAGCCAGGCTTTGAACTTCTAAATCTAACAAATAGTTCTAGAGTCAAGTAACAAAACAAAATCCTTACAGAAAGCTCCCAGACCAGTCGCAGAGCTACAGACTAATTGTTTCCTGTGCCTAATGTGTCTATTCTTCATTCACAAAGAGAGGGGGCTTTTGAAGTTATCAGTTTATTAAAAAAAAGCAGTGTTTCCTTTTGCTGAACAAGGTTAACGTTTACACAGCTCAGAGTGGATTGCATGAGGATTCCCCTGCAGAATCTCTGTGCTGTTTAACATTCCCCCTCTGTACAGTTCGGGCAGTGTGAGATCATCACCGATGCAGCAGTGATGGGCTCAGTGCTGTTTTGCTTCTGCACATCTTCAAATGATGCTCTCCTCCTTTCGCCTTCTTCCTTAGCACATGGATACAAATGGCACACCTCTGCTTAGAGGCTGGTGCTGCATGCATACTGATGTGCTACCCTGAAAGGGGTGACAGGAGGTTTTTGCACAAGCTTTTTGCGTAAGACCCCCTCGAAGGTAAGAGAAGGACATACAAGCCTGGCTCACAGGGCCCAGTTCCATGGGGTACACAAGCCTCAAGTGTATGTAGGCTGTTTTACCATGTTTGGAAAGCTTATGTAGCCTGAACTTCCTGCAGGTAATTTCTGAAAAAAAGAGTTTTTCTAAGCTCTGTTCAGCCTTGGCATTTTCTAATACTAAAATATTTTGCAACCACTTCCCTGAATCTCTCATGATTTTAGGAAGGGTCTCACAAGATCTTTTGTAGTAAAATAAAGGGCAATACAAAAGGAAAAAAAATTAATATATTTGACCAGCAGGACTGAGAGTTAAATGATGCATGAAGTTATTCTAGACATCTCTCACTTCTAATTGTTTGAATACCTCTCACTTGCAAACCGAATTTCCTCTTGGAAACTGTTAAATAACACCTCCATGGGATTTACATAGATGGAATAAACTTAGAAAAAATCAGGCATATTTAGAGGTAACTAAATTAAGCTCCTACCACACCAGCTAAAAAAGCCATTATTAATCATGCATGATGTACGTGACTTTGTCCAAGGTGGATTTAAAACCAGATAGCATGCGACATTCAGGGAATTGCAATGGCTCAGAGAGCCTCTGATCAAACCCCAAAAGACAGCAAAGCAGCTTATGTAACCTAACTGAGACTGAGGTGTGTCTACTTTCTATTTTGTTGATTTCAAAATAGTCCCTCAAAACAGAAACTCCCATTCCAAAGAAGAAAGTGTTAAAAAGGAGAAGAAAAAGAAAGTCCTAAAAAGAGAAATCAAACTTGAGAGTTGACAGAAGAAATGGCTGCTACAGAAAATCAGCTTTCTTTAACCCTTGCTCCTGGAAGGCCTGACTCTACGGGTAATTTGGTTTCCCTTGCTGACCATATACATTTAGAAGACAAAACAACTAGACACAAAATGGCTAGACCCCTCAGAGCAATTCATCAAGGAACATATTTAGATATGTACAATTACAGATTTTATCTACATCAGATCACTAAGTGGACCAGAGATGCAGTCCAACTGCATTCTCTCTCCTGCTGGCCAGGTGCCAGGCTCTTCAGCTGGAACTACTGGAATTGCTGGATGGCAAAAACACACAGGAACCCACTAAGGGTAAGCTGCTGCTTTTTCTGACAGTGCACAATCAACTTAACAGGATGCTTAATATCTTTTGTTATTCATTTAGCCAAGATAGCTATCAAAGCATTTAGCTTTTTCTGAAGGCTGCTGAACTCCTGGACTGAATGGTTTTGAAGCATCTGCTATGAAGTCCAGTTTTAAAGCATCCACTATCATGATTAATGCTGTCAGACTTTCCCCTTTCTGCTAAGTAAAAAACAAAATCTCAACGGAGATTGTAAACATTTCACCTTTTCTTTGCCACTGACTTGACAGAGCAGTTATGCTTACTCCTCTTCTGTCCTGAACAGCTCTGTCCAGCTGAGGGAAAACACTCAGTTTTTTACTCATCTCCACATTCTTTCCATGTACTATTCTTCCCCCATTTTCCAGAATGACAACTTTTCATGGGGGGGGGGGGGGGAAGAGGGGAATATTTAGCCACCATGGCTGTACCAGTGCAGAGAAAGGGTGAAAAAAAATTGTAATGCTTTAGTCTGACTCTCTAGGCATTTCTTTCAGGCATGCCTTTTCTAAGCTGGCGCAGAAGCAGTGAACTGTGTGCTGGTAGTTATCCTGCAGTCCTTCAGAAGTGCTGCTCTCCCTCTCAAAATCCCACAACCAGCTCATCTTTCAACAAAGCTGTCAGCCATCTGCCAGGTGTGGCTCTGCAGAGCTCTGTAGGCACACAGAGCATCGCCTATGGCAGTACAACCTCTCTGCCAACCTGCTGCATAGAAGGCTGGAGATTTTAATAAACCTGAACCATTAAGTGCTTCACATGAGAAGAAAGATTTATTGTATCAAACTGGTGTATTACTGGTGAGCTCCAAGCCATCTCGCTGACAAAACTTGACTGTTCTTTTATCACTACATTGTATATTTGTCACAGGGTTACTGGGGGCTGCAGGGCCAGCAGAGGGGTGTCTACACACAAATACCACTTGAGGTGCAGCCAGCAAAATGCCACAGGCATCTCCTGTTTCCCTCTCTGCAGCCACATAGCTCATACATGCTGCTAACACTGCTTTTACACATACCCATCTGTCAAACAAACGAGGCCAAATCTTAGCTACTGTAAATGGAAGTACGTCCAGAGGGATTAAAAAGTCTAAACTCATTACAACACCTGAGGTGCTAGTATCAAATGCCACTTGAAAGACTCCAGAAAGACCTCTCATAATGAAATGAATAAAGTAATTTAAAACCCTATCCAAAGCATTCACTAGTTCAGTAACAACCTATTTTCTTCATCTTATAAATAACTATGAAAATATCCTTGTTTGAATACATCAGCAGGCATTCTTCCTACATAGATCAAAAGAATAGCCCAAATACAGTGCTTTTCACTTAGTGAGATGACACATCTCTCAGCTAGCAAGAAAACTTTGTGTTTTGTTTATAGCATCATAACAATCAAAATATAATTTTAATATTTTGATGCTATTCAGTAAACAATGCATTTCTTTTCAACACTTAGTAATAAAAATAGAATGTGCCTCATCACCTTTTGATTTCTTATGCTAAAGAGAGTTACACACAAATACACTGATCAATCTAAGTCCTCAGTGTTGAAAAAAAGAAAACTAAATTCAGCTTCCCTTCTGCTATACTATATGGATTTTTCTGCACTGCTTTGGGTTTTTTACATGGGAAAGTATCAATTAAGTCAGTGTAAAAACTATTTGTAGATCAGCTTCACCCTCAGGGTCTCAAGTGCTGAAATACTTGAACTCAAACTGTGTTTTTAACTTCTGTTTTTTGGTTTTTTTAAGCTTGAGGAAAAATGCCTGCTGATTGTTTCATAAGTGCTTGTTACTGCAAACTCTGCTTGAAATCTCAGCTACAGAACTTTTTTAAAGTGTCAGTAATCGGGTGACATCAGCAGCAATCACACATCATATTGATTTACTGAGCTGCCTGCTCAGCCCAATCCGCTGACAGGGCCAGCCGCAGCTATGGAGAGCAACATACTTCCAGATTTTCCTTGAGGACAGAATAGCAAGTTCTGGGCTTGAATTAGAAACATTTGGTGAGAAATCTGCACAACAGTGCTGGCCTGTGAGAGAACACTCTGTTCCCCTCAGTCACTGCATCCAACTCAAACATAATCCACAACAATTAGAAATCTTAGCTGTGGAAGCAGCTCTGAACATGCCTGCTCCCAAAGACATCTCAGCTGGCACTCACCGACCAGCTTAGCAGGCAAACCCAGCAGTCAGATGTGACATTCCAGTTCACAGAGACAGCTCAGTCCACATGCAGGGCAGTAAAACTCCCTGATCCACACCTGCCTAATGCACACTGGGAAAATACTCCCGGACCACGGGAAATGCACTGAGGCAAGGAGTTCAGCACTTGAATTTTGCTGGGGCAGTGCTCACACCCTGAGTGCTGCATCAACAGCCTCATGATTCCTACACAATACTATACTTAGCAGGTGAGTGGGATGCAGAAGGCAGGCACATGGCAAAGTGTGAGGCTATGCATTGCAGGGAGAAAATGTCTCTGTCCTCTCCGTGCTCAGCTTTAGGTAAAGGGAACACAGCCTGGAGAAGTACAGCAAATCTCTCCCTGTGTACAGATTTGACTATGAGGTGAAAGTTATGGGAGAAAAAAAAATCTGGTAGAAATGACTTCTACTGCAACATGAAAGGCACAGGGCCCTGCCAGCTCACCTGGCAGCAGTTACCCTAGTTCTGTGCCCCTGAATGAGGGCTTTTAAGGCCCTCTGCTTTTTAAATGATGGAGAGCCTGCCTGGGTGACAAATAATAGCTAGTCAATGCACAAGGTTGTCTTGTGTAATTTTGTGCCCATTGTTGAAGGCTCTTTCCTAACATTTGACTGGAGGCAGTGACAGCTACAGCTGAACGCAAGTCCTGAACCTGTAATTGTTCTCACACGTCACTTGTCAAGGTCCCAGCAATTGCCCTGGTCACTAGATGATCTGTATTTCCTAGAGGATATAGAGGACTATGACCCCAAACATTAGCTCAACTATGTCCTGAAAGAACAGGTAACTTCCCAAGAGATGGACCTACCAAATTTGCTGGAGCAAAACAATAAACAGCTCAGTGCTAGGGCATTTGAAAGCACAGCCCTTTCTCTTTTTTGCTGGGGATGCAACCAGAGCTGTGGCATGAATCCTGCAGAGATGTGTGAAGGTTTGAGTGATTCAGGTTGGCTGGAAGGGAAAAGGAGGATGTCTTGGTTGCTAAAGCTGTGGATGTATGGTACAACCCTGCCCTGCAAAGCCAGTCTCCACAACAGACTCTGCTGTTTGAGAGTGGATGTTAAGATACTCCTCCATTCCTCTTCCTGGCTGCTGCAAGCTTGATTCCACATCTACAGCTAAGAAAGACTCAGTCTCTCCTTGCTGAGGCACCATTTTGCTGCTGTTCACCCACACCAACAAAATGGTGATTCTGGAAGGCACGCATTTCAGAAGATGATGTCTCTCTCACCCCAGACAGCTGATTCCTTTGCAACTGCCCACCTCCTCCTCCTGCAAAATACACGTGAACAGAAGGGAGGAAGGAGCAATCAGAGAAGCACAGTCACATGTGCCCATAATCCTGTCTCATATTTGCAGAGTAAGGAAGTTAAAATCCAAACATAAGAGCATGCTTACTAAGAGGGACTTGTACCAAAGAAGTAACTATTTTCATACAAAGGGGAAGCCTCTGGCAGACAGAAAGGAGCTGTGTTCTCCCCTTCATGCATTCATATGACTCTTATTAGTAATGCAGGAAGAAAAAAAAAAAAAAGTCATTATTTCCAAAGGTTCACAGGACAGCTGAAGCCACACATCACCTCTGAGATCGCAGACGTGCTCACTCTGGCTTGAGAGCCTGCAGGGCTCTGCTAATTGGCCTCTCAGTAAACATCCAGCAGCCAAGGCTGCCTGGGAGCCTTCTGTGGTGCTTTGATCAGCCATGCTGCATGTGTGGTGATTCCACCCAGGGAATCCCCACCTAGCAACCAAATGGAAAAATTCCCTCCTGTGCACAGTGACTGCTTGCCTGGCTGAATCAAAGGCAGCCATGGCTGTGGGTTTTCTTTACTCACACCTGAAGTGTCATAACTAGTCACCTCCTAGAAGGAAAGGCAAAATACACTAGGTCACGTTCGCTGTGGAGGCAGGAACAGAGAACTTCCCTTCTCAGTGTTCCTCAGAGACTGTCATTTTAGAGCAATGATTTAGTTACACATTTTCCCTCTCTTGCTTTATTGAAACACCACACTTGTGTTTTCCTGCTTCTTCCCTGTCAAAACCCATCTTTCACTCCTAAAGCATAAAGTAACAGAAGAATTCTGGCTTGTACACAGACACACACTGTAACTAGAAAAGGGTTTGATCCCAAAACTGTTGGACACCTTCATTTCATCTCAATTTCAAATGAAATTAAAGTCATAGCGCCAACAGAGTTTGCCTGGTTTCCCACTCTTAAACAAGTAAGTGTACAGCCAACCAAGCATGTACTCTGGAGAGGAGAGCTAAGAAATAGTATTCAAGCAATTTATTATCACATACAATCAATTTAACAGTGCCATTTAACCTGCTGATCAGAATTCCTTCACAGCATACACAAAAAAGCCGTTGTTTGTAAGACAAAGTAACAGACAGTAATTTTTACCAGCTTTGCTTTTCAGGTGTGAATCAATCATTATTTCCAAACAGTGATTGAAGACGTGTAGGGCAGTCTAGTTTAATTATTAAGAAATAAGAAAGAAATAAGAAATAAGGCATCTTGAAACCCTCAGGGACTTAACAGTACTAAACAGAACATGAAAGTAACTTCAAGAATAAAACATTTCATTTTCCACCTCTGAGTGACAATTAGAGTTAGCACCATTCAGCATTTGCCTCCACTTTCTCCAAACTTTCAGTTCTATATTCAAGACAAAGTTGCTTTTCTATTGTTTTTAGCAAGAGAACATGGTCACATAAAGATACACCCAGCCCAGTCAGGTTTCCCTCTGTCTCATTTCACTCGCACAATCAGCCATCACACAATCCTACCTTCCCAGTTGCTGTCATCACACAGCGATGTTAAATCCAGCCGAGGCACTTCAGATACAAAGCTGTTTTCCTGATCATCAGCATCTTGATTTCTTTGTAACTTGTTTTCAGGCATGTTTGGATGTTCTTGAATCTTCATACTTGAAGTCAGCTATGTTCCCATACACCCATGGAAATGAGAGAGAAAGGAAAAAAAACGTTTCAGGATGTAGAAGGGGGAAAAAACCCCTGTAAGTCACAGCAGCAGTAAGCTCATGCCTTTAGCTAAAAAGATCCAAGCAGACCCTGATGTTTCCAGCTCCAAATCCAAATCCCTTGCTTTGTGACCCCCGTGTACTAATTGCTCACTCACACCAGCAAAAACATCCGTCCATCTGCCTTCCTTGAATTTTTCCTTCTTTAGAAAGCTACTGCAAGTTCCCGAGACTGCCTGCTCTGACAACTGCATGCAGCTGAGAAAGCCTCCAGTAGTGGATTGGGATGAAATGGGAGGGAGGGAAGCAGGGAGTCAGGGAGGCAGGGAGAGGGAGGGGGGCAGCTGCGTACACTTCCTACAGGAGCGCAACTCCTTCGAGCAACAACAAAAACGCTGCTGCTGCTGTTGTGAGGCTGTAGCAATATGGTGCCTTCTAAAAAGCAGGCACCAGAGCTCCTGAGGCAGCAGCCGCAGCCAGCCAGCAGTGCAGGCTACGTACATGAATGCTCTCATGCAGGCTGTGCTGGCTCAGATCAATTAGTGCCAGCTAAGCTGTGCTGGCTGCACATTCCCCGATTTCCTGTGGTTGTTTTCTAGCTGGGCGTGGGGAGAGCAGAACTATTTATGGAGGAGCTCTGGGTATTAAAGCGGTGTTGCGCAAATCCAAACGGCAGTAGGGTTTGGCATCTCAGCTGGAAGCAGTGTGGACTCTGGGAAAACGCCAAAAAATTCACACAAGCATCCAGGAACAGGAATAAAAAACATATTAAAAAAAAAAAAAGCAGAGTTCTGTCAAGTACGTGATTCATCAGCTAGTACTACCTAGAAGCAAGTGCTGTCTGTCTCAGCACTGTTCTCCCTGCACATACCACACGTCGTGTGCATTTATGCAGAAATCCCTGCCATTCCCACAGTCCAGAGACACAGTGCGCGTGTCTGGGACTGCGCCTGATGAGAGCGCTTCTGTCACTCCAAAAGAAATTAGCTGTAATGCCTCACAGAGGGCAGTAGGGAAAAGGAAGTGTAATGCATGTACATAAACATGTAGTGTGATATGTATAAACCCACCAACAAACACAGAGCTAGATGAATATACAGGATTACGTTACTACATAAACTATTTGGATTTGTTAAGAACAGCTTAGGCATAATTCTCTCAAATATAGACTAGTGGCCTGTCAGCATGCAGATTTTCCCTCTGCAGGTATTTTGAAAACCTAGTAAACAATCTGTCTATTCTGATATAGGAAGAAAACGGGCCAAAAGAAAACAACCAGTATTTCTGGACCTATTTTCCTCGTGAATCCAGAAGCACAGCCAAATGCTTCAATAACCTTAGTACAAGCCACTAAGGCACATTTACTTTTTTTCATCTGCAGAAAGCTAGCAATGTGTTTGGTGCACGTTTTCCTTTTTGAGCAGAGAAAAACAAGTAACTTTCATGAAGAGGGGAAAAAAGTTGCCCAGTAGACAAATCATATGAATAAATGTTTTTATCTGGATTCAGTTCCATCAATCCCTGCAATTGAACAGAGTGCTAAATAATCTCATCTAGGCTTCCTTTCCCACAAAAGGTTGGATCAGGTGATCTTTTGAGGTCCCTTTCAACTGTTCCTGTTCTAAAAATCTGGTCGATTAATCGAGAATTACACTCTTTGTAAAGAGTGTCCTGCATTGTATTTGTGTAAGGTGTGTATTTCCTGTTCATTTCAATAAATAGCCTTTTTGAAACGTTATAACAAAATGAAACACTAGGTGACAGTTTGCCAAGCACTAATAACTCATGCAGCTTGACACTAAATCTGATTACAAATGTGTTTATTGTGAGAGCTGTACGTGGAAAAATGCTAATTCACCATTCAATATCTTTTAAGCTGCTTCCAAGTTGGGAGGACTTAAATATTTCTCTAAAGTCCACTGACAAATTTCCTGCCAGGATTTAAATAGTCTGTGTACCTCACAAACAAAGGCTGGTCAGTGGCCAACAGTATCAATTGATAAACTGCTTGCAAATCACCAGCAGAGTATTTAAAGGTGATATTTTAAGGCAAAGAAAATAAATAAAGCACTAAGTTTCAAAATAGATGCTATTTTTAATAACAAAGAAGTATGAAGGAGAGGAATGTACCTAGATTTTAACAATTTCAAAGGGAGCAACCTGAGAATACCATTTCATCACCACTACTGATACTAATTAGAGATAAATGTCTTTCTATGAAGAGTGTACAATCTCCTGACTCTTAAAAGATACCTGTAGCACATATAAAGGTACTTTCCAGATAGGTAAACATTTTCATTAGACGTATATTAGAAAGATCATATCAATGTCGTCTTCTTCCTGAAGTCATTTCAGTCGTTGGAAATATTTAAAAGGTGTATAAAAGCAGGCCTATGCCCTGCCTGCAGCCAGTTACTCTCCCTGCTCACTGATGTAGGTCCTAATACAATGAATAAATCATTAGGTGTTTTGAAGAACAATGGTGATACAATCCCAGGAGAATCAAGAAAGCAGTTGTTTAACTTCCTTTGCATTAATGCTCCAAACCCATAGAGTGGTAGATAATTCAGTATTCCCATCATTTATTTTCTTTTTTTGATTTCCTGATGCCACCAGCTGCCAATCTCTAGGAAAAGAAGCAAGTAAGGGAGAACTACTTTGCTTTAGGTATAGACGAGCCACAATTTCTTACAAATCGAAGGGGCAACAAGTTGATGATGTTATTAACAGTTGCAGTCACAGTTTACTACAGATACTACATAAATGGCCACAAAAAAATCTTCAAAGCAGAAGATTTCTACTTGAATTCTGCTTTTTAGCTGATTCTGCAGGCATGCTTTGCAGGCATCAGTAACTACAGATCTAAGTAGCCTGGGGGTAAGTCAGCTGCATTCATTCTCCCTGGTCCAATGGAGACTGAGCATAAAGAGTAGCTCAAAAAGCAAGAAATAAATGGCAACAAAAAGACTTTTAAATTCTGATCAGGAGGTTGTATTCTGTTCAATTACATATGGATTCCAATCAACTCTATAAAAAAAGCTTGCTTCCCCTACATGTGATCTTCCATTACAGCCACAAGCAGGGAGCATCCTTAAGGCACATCTTTGGAATACAACCTGATGCAAGAACACAATCATTTTGCTGCCTTCCTTCTACCTGAGCCACGCCAACACCCCTCTACACTTGTTGCTATGTTGGTATGAATCTTAAATACTTTTCCCTTATCAAAACCTGGGTATCAGAAACCTGTGTTTTTCATCCCGGAGCTTAGTTACTTCCAAGAGCAGATTATGAATGTTACAAAACCAATGAAAATTCACTTGAGGCTTGTGTTTCAAGGTATTTTTACAGTCTCATGGAGACCCAAGTCAGCACAACTGGTAGCTATGGCAAATTCCAAATCCTTTTCCTAACAGCTTTAGACTGGAGGCAGGGTGAGAAAGAGAAAAGAATAAGAAGAACCCTGTCCCTTCCTCAACCTGAATGAGTTGTTTGTTATGAAATGTATGTCTTTAAGCTGCCCTAAGCAAAAGGCTTATAAGGGGCAAGGAATGTAAAACAACTCTGCAGGAATGTAACATTTTCTTGACCTTGTAATTCCTATATAATACACAATCTCTGGGTTAAGATTCTCTCCTGCAGTTAAAAATTTTACACTTTAAAACCTCTCCTAAAGTGTAGTTTATTTTAAGGTTATCCTTTCACATTTAAATGTATTTCAACCAGGCTAATTTAAAAGCTTAATATGAGTATTGTGTGGCACGGCAGCAACAACAGCTTTTCCACATGCAAATGGGTACGTGAGGAACAAGGTGTTGCAAAATCTAGGCTCCGGAAAATACAACAGCTCACGAGCAAGTGCAAGGGATTACTGACTCTCTGGGAGCAAAGCAGGAGATCCATGTAAGCCCAGTCAGAGCAGTGATCAAAAGCAGCCCTTAACACCCTTTGCAGGGGCTACATATTTCAGGATCCCACAAACTTCACCAGCTACCACACAGCTTATCAGAGCTCAGCTGTTAGCAACCTTTTACCTCTCCTGCTAGGTGGAAATAATTCCTACCAGAAATGAAGTCTTTCAAAGGCAATAAATGCATAGTGGCTTTTATTTTTAAAAGAAACACAGGAGGAGTCTAATTTAAAAATACTACCAGCCTTCATTCAACTCCAGACAGCCAGAGAAACCAGACAGTGGCTACAGCTGCCTTATTGTGCCCACTTCAAATGGATGCACAATTGAGGGAGAGGTGCCTCAGATAACTCTCCTCAGTATTTTAAATGCTTGGCTGTCTAGAGGTTTTTGAAGCAAACCCAAATGAACTAGGGATCGCAAAGGGATTCAACCTCACCCAACCCAATCTTTGATAACACCATAAAGCCAGTGCAAGAAGTGTGTGTGTGTCTGCTGACATCAACATCACATCTCCCCTCCTGACATCCATCCCAGCCACCAACTGTTAGAAGCAGGAGGTGATCCAGTTTTCTAAGACACGTGTATTACAGACACCTATGTTCAAAAGCAACAGGCTGCACTAGGAAATGATAAATAAAAGGCCAAATTATTTTAGAGAAATCAAGGGAAATCAAGCTAATCTTACTACCCTGGCAGATAAGCAGTCAGATGTCCTGTTTGCCGTAATTAATAAGGGAGCTTCACATCACTTAAACCACAGTGCTGACTTCAGTGATCATTCCCTTTCTGGCAAGGAAGGATCAAAGGCTAGGAAGCAGAAGCTATCAGACTCCCCAAAGGTTGAGAGGCTCCCTAGACTATGTAAATAAAAAGTAGAGGTAAGGGACAGAAAAAGTACATGCTAACTCCATTTCTCTTGTGAAAAACAAAACTACATGCATAACTACTTGTTTCTGCTCAATAAAACATTCATTTAGAGACTACAAATCTGAAACACAAAAAGAGCAACAAAAAAAAAATACCAACCTGAGAACGTCTGAAAAAAACCTCATCGTTTTCACTTTCTTTGCTATAAAAAAAACAAAAACAAACCAATATATTACAAACACAGTCTTGTCTTGCAACAAAAAACAAGGAAGACTTCTGCACATAAAGGTTTTTACATTCTTGTTACTCCTGCAGACTCACTAATTCACACAGTAAATTAAGGGACTCGCTGGGTTGCAGCACTTTAAGCTGCTAAACAATGCATTTTTTGCTTCCTCTCAGGAGCTATTTGAAAACAATAGTCATTTAATTCCAGTGCCCTTAATTCAAACCAATACAACTAGCCCAGCAAATGTAACTGTTGAGAGAAATTGTCATCTCAGGTGAGCAGAGTGAGGTTGTACAGCTCTCACTGAAGAGTGAAGCACAAGGGAAAGGGCTGGATTCCCAACCCAGAGGCCAGGTAAGACAGGTCCTGCATTCCCATGTGGAGCATGCTGGTTCAGGTGCTCCACAGCTGATTTCTTTTCAAGTCTGCACCATCAGCACCTTCAGTGACATTCCTATCAGGTTGGGAAAAGAGCCTTGGTGGCATGTGCTGCAGGGCAAAGCCCACACAACACACACAGTGCCTCCATGAAGCTGTGTTGAAGTTAACATGGTGGGTAATCTGTTCTGTGGCATACATGTTACCCTCACGGCCTGGGTGGGAGATCTCTCAAGCTGTACTACAACCAGGGTAAGGAAAACATACAGATATATATATATATAAAATAAAATTAAAATCACCTTTCTTCAGATAAAATTTCCATGTCATCAGGTCCTGTTCTGTCTATAGGCTTGGATGAGCTAAAGTTTTCCATACTCTGCAATACAGTAAATATTAAAGCAGTATACATAAGAAACAGATTAAAGCTGCAGGTCATTAAACAGATCAAATACAGAAATACCCAACAGGATTTCTAGGAAAAGGGTAACACACAACTGCCCACTGCACAAAACAAACCCCACACTTTATTGCCCATAAACTGCAAGAAAACCCAACTGCTCACTGCTTCATCTCTTTCACCAGGCAACCTCAAAATGTCAGAATTGAATAATGCTGCATGGTACCCCACCAGTTCCCGTTTTACAGACTGACAGACAGCCTAGGCTTGGGAACAATTCTTTGGCCTGTGCAACTCCTCTAAGAGCAGGTAACAAAATCCACAGCAACCTCTCAGCAGAACTCCTTATGTTCATGTTAGAAGACCCTCCACTTCTCAGCCAAGCCCTTCCTTAGTTTCTTCTTAAACAGGTGTAAGAATGCAAAGAGACTGCACAGATGTAATGTTGGGCTAATATGAATGCAGGGCAAGCAATCCAGCTGGTTATGACCTCTTGTTCTGGGATTTGTCTTGGCTACCATTAAGAACATTAACACTGTTGAGTACTGTGAGGACAAGCCATGTAGCCAACTTCAAGCACATGCCCAGGAAGCTTTCTACCCTGGGTTTTGGGCAAGACCCTCTTGAACAGGAGGAAGTTGCTTCCTGCCCTGGAAACTATGTGCACAGACTTCTTGTGGGGGTCACAGCCCTCTCTCACCTGCTACACCTCCAGCCCCACACAATGACACAGGTCTGCCATTCTAGCCTTGCCTAATTTGATTCTTCAAGTCCTACTGATACGTTGCTACCACCACCATGTCCCTAAAATGCAGTTACAAGCTTTTAATGCTTTGTGGTTGGTTTGCTTGGGAGTCTAAGTGGAACTGACAGTTTCTTCACTGCTGACTTGTGCTTTTGAGCCAAATGCAATCAGACAGCTAAGAGGAAAGCTTCCACACACTGTCCTACATACCTTTTCAGGCTTTTTAAAAAATGAATGTTCAGAAAAGGGTGTTTAGGAAGAGACAACATCATGAACTTGTTTACATGACAAAGGCCTACAAAGGCCTATTAGTAAATGCTAAGGTGCATGTTTTGTTATACTCCAAGTAGGTAGTCTAATTGGGGTTATTATTTGATGCGTAAAGATGTAGCCAAAAGAAAGCTAAACTATCACACATCCTTCTGGCAGTCTCTGAAATGCAAGTATGTAATAAACATACTCATTAAAACTTAAAAAGCAGCTTCTGCTCTTCCAAAACAATAGCACCATGCTCTCTGAAAGATGTTTCTTAATGATACTTGCAGTTGATCATCCCACTCTGACATTTCCTATAGAAGGGCAAGCAAGAACCACACTGCTGGTCATCTTGGTCAAAGTGCTTTTAATACAAGATTAGTTAATTTTACTTTCCTTTCAGCCTTTGCCCTTTAAGAGGTCAAAAAATGGGGGGCAGGGTGAAGTCCAGTGGGCACAGCTAAGTTTGAGGACATTTCTTCTGGGCACATTTAAAGACTTCATGAATGCTTTTCAGGTCCACAGCAAAAGTGGACACTTCTGTCAGTGCTTCCTTTCCTAAATCTTGAGAAAAATTCTCATTTACATTGAAACTGCTTTACACTCCACAGGCACAGAGAAAAGGTGCTGAAAAGATCATAAGCACTAGACCTTTGCCTATCTTGAAGTGCATTGCTACAAGCAAAGACAGAAGTGTGAATGTGTCTGTAACACTCTGCCGTCATGAAGTATCACATGAGAAGACTGTGGATACTGAGCACTAAATTTAAGTTACTAAATTGAGCCCAGTGTACAATTTTTGGCATCTTGCTTTCTTTTGATCATAATGAAAAGCAAATCCCCCCTCTCTCTAGAATCTCTGCACCGGGTAAGAACATCAGATCATTGCAATTTTGTGATCTAAACAAAATGAGTCCAAACACAAGGTCACATTAAGAATTTGTTTTCAGCAGGCTCTAAAACTTAATCAAGCACCATTGAAGGAAATGCCCTGTAGCTCAGGACAGTATTTTCACACAGCTCCTGCTGCTCCTGTTCACCATGCAATGCATGCTTGGTGCAGGCACAGCACTTCTGCCACTGCATGCAGACCCTGTGCTGAAGCACAGTGTGGTTTTTCAGCTGCTGACACTCCAGTCAGTGCTCGCTCTGGCTGAGAGGGAAGGAGGGTGAACCAGTTTTATTCTGCAGCTTGTAGAAGTAGGCAAACTGTCCTCTACTGTGAAGAGCACATGAGAATATGCTGTTAAAGTTCTACAGTATTCCAGACTTTCACAACGTTATAATGAAGTCACTGATGTCTTCAGTAAAAGGTTGATAGAGGGATCACCTTTTGGACCAACACACTTCAAAGTGGTTTCCAAATTACAAGAGCTACAGTAAAACACAAGGTTTAGGGAAAATGCATAAAATACCTTTGCCATCTCATTATCAAGTAGTCACTTGAAATCTGGTTTCAGAACTCAGCAGGAATATGAAAATAAACTTGACCTGAACATGAGAACCTACATTTAAGGTTCCAAATTCCTTGCAAGGCTTTTGAAATACTGGGAAAAAGACCTATATCCTTTTATGCTTTCCAAAATGCTTCAACAAATTCAAAAGAAAAAAGCAAAAAGTTGTAGAAAGAGAAAATGACTACACATGGAGTATCATAGCAGAAGTAAGGTTTCTCAGTTGCCTCATCACAAGGTTACAAGTGTGGGATCCAGTGTTTCCCATAGTCCAAAACAGGCACTGAGGCCCATACAACAGGCAAAAATGGCTAAGTAAAGGAACCAGACGTGTACTGAAGTAAAAAAAAGAGTTCTTCCCATCCTAGTAACAGACATCAAATAGTGCAGCATGATGGCTTACCACAGGACTGTCCTGGTTGTCATTAAGCTCTGAGAGCTTGGTGCTAGATTTCTGCCGTTTTGATTTATTCCTTTCACTAAGGTATCCAGAGCTGGTGTCTTGTAATTTTTCTACATCTTGAGCAGCTAGAATACAATCTTCAAGACTGCTGAATCCAGAGGGAATGTTTTCCTTGTTGACAACTTCCCTAAAAAGAAAAGGGACATTACAACAAGAGATTGTTTAAAACACTGTCTTGCTACATTTATGGTAGCAATAGATAACTACATCATACTAACTGGTGCAGTTCCAGCAACATCATCTATTCTCTATGAAACCACTATCTCTGGTTCTTCCCAATGCAGCCAAAAATACACACTGTGCAATCCTAAATCCCACTGAGGAGTGAAACCCAAGTGTATACACCTCAGGTGAGAAAACTTTGAAGATCAATGTTTGGGATTTGATTCACTTGCCACTAAATCCAACACACAGAAACCTTCACATGGAAGCTGGACTAGCCCCCGGCTGCCTGTGGAATTTTTATAGAGAGTATGAAGCATATTTTCCTTTGGGACACGTGCTTTTAATTTAGAAAAGTGACTCACAGCTGCGGTCCAGGGATCTCCTTTGGTGCATGACACTGCATAATTGGCCCTCTTACTCATAACTCTCAAATGCAAGAACAGGACTGTGGTGCTTTAGCCAAAATGCTGGATTTCTATTTGGAATCGAACAAAACATAAAAGGGAATGTACCTCTGCAATAGTAATGCAACTGCTAGGACAGGGGACTATTTTGCTATATTGGGAAGAGAATGGGACAGCCAGCCCTAAGTCATCACGTGATGCATTCGCTGGGACTCCCTAGGCTTGCAGGGTTTGTGCCTGTTTACAGAAGCCTGGCATATGGCTTATTTTGCCCTGTTCGATCCTTCAGCAGGCAGCTTTCCATTTTTAAGTTGTTTAGTAGTCTTCCCTCTACTTTGTCCAACAGTGGAGATGCACATACACATCACTACACCACGGGAGCAGGAGAAACACAAGGCTCTCATTGCCCTGCCAGAGGCTAAAGGCAGCCTGCTTACACTTGACACTGAAACTGGAACATTTGCTAACTCTCTGTGTGGCTGTCTTACACAGTGCTGTGCAACTCCTAAGCCTGCTTTCATGAACAGCAGGAGAATTCATCTAGACTTGACTGGTGTGATAAGAAACCAGTTACTCTGCAGTATCTGGACAGTGCCAGCATGGCAAGTACTCAGAACAAAAACAAAACTAGAAGGTTCCAGTGACTTTCACCATTACAGATCTCTAGGCTTTGTTGGTGGAAAAGAGATACAAAGAGGTATGATAAATCTCTGACTAAACTTCTAAGATAACACATTTGCCTTTGTGGAAGTTTAACAAACCCTTCAGCAGACCAATTACACATTCTGAGCCTGTAGATTATGTAATCTTCAAAGCCTAGGAGTTCACCTATGTGATTTTGTGATAAACACTCTTCCTGCCTGTAGTCCCACTTTGTGACATTACAAATCCTCTTGTGATCCATCACAAGACAAGGGGGTGAAGTCATTGACAACAAAAAAACTACAGAAAGACGTTTTGAAAGGAATTATCAATTTTGATAATTTACCCAGAGAAATCCCAACAATGTGACCTAAGGGAACCAGGGAAAGCAATCTGGACCACAGCCAGCATTCAAAACTTCCAATGTGCTTTAAATCCTTGGCTCTAGCTTTCTGGACCAAGCCTGAATAACTGTGTCAATCATATCTAGAGGCAGCTCTGTAACGCAGCGTTGAAGAAAAGCCCTGCAGTACTATATGCTTCCAAACACGTACACTAGCCAGTCTCTGACCTACTTACCTGAGAAGCCTGTCAGCAGGGCTACTTAACAAGAAAAACTACTTTAGAGCTGCTGCCAGATACTCTGGTGACTTGCAAGCACCAATTTCCCAAGCCATCTTTACAGTATATTTTGATTCACTATGAAAATGGTGTGGGTTTGTTTTTTTTTTTTTTTTTTGTAACTACAGGTTTTTTGTATAACAGCAGTACTGACACATTTTGGAAAATACTAAAGATGTAATATTAACATGAGGCATTGATGGCTATGCATCTGTATAGAAGTAGCTTCATATAAGAAGGTACAGATCCAATAGAATTTGGGGAACTCAGCACCCAGGAAACAACAGGAGAACAGACGTTTATTTTTCAATCAACTTCAAATCCTAGCAATCCAATACCGCAGTGAAGCATACACATTCTTTACAAGAACTAGTGCTGTGTTACAGATGGACACATGAGTTAAGCAATGATTAGAATATAGCCTCGCAAAGTCTGTGCTACAGTTTCTCAAATACAGCTACGCCTTGTGTAACAAGTTTGTTAAAGCTGTGGTGGTAATACATTTGTGCCACACAATATATGTCACAACTAGAGGAGTATGAATGGAAAAACAGGTATTTACTCTTTGACAGACATTTCATGAAATTCACTAAGTCATGTTTAAACTTGGCATAATAGGGAGGAAAAAAAAAATCTTAGATTCTGATTGATCAAAATTCTAATTTCTGACAAACTCCCAAATCTCCTCATTAAACCCAAACACAAGCTGTGCCTCCACACACAAAAGAGGAACTTAATCTCACTTTTTCAGACATTCTGAATTCTGAAAAGCAGCTGAGTCCAATGTTTTTATCTAAAAAAAGTTACAGGCAGCAGAGCCAACTGCTTGGGAATTTCCACTAATGCAGCAAATACTGTTAAGTAACCAATTCCAAATACTATAATTAAAAACTTGACTGCATAAGCCCCCCAGATTCTTATCATGCTTTGCCCCACTCCATCATCTAGTAAACTCTAAATCTCCCACGTCTAACTGATGCCATGGAGCTCTGCACAGGCACTGTAGTCTGCTTTGCACTTTCAACTCAGGGCAAAAGTTCCTTTCATAACAGAGCATAGCACTGCCTTGATAAGAAGACATGACTGGAGTAGACTTAAATATACTTTCCAAAACAAAGAAATCAGGCTCATACATGTCTCTGTTTCTCCGGGCTTCCTCCTGCTCTTTGTGGTGTCGCCTCCTCTGCCTGGCAGACACATTAGAAGAGGCTGAAGATGTCCCGGATTCAGAGTCCTCTGAACTCTGGCCACCTGAGCCATGAACATCAAAGAGATGCTGCTCCACAGCTGAGCGGATTGTCTTCTCTAAATACCTGTCAAGCCGAAAAATAAGGTCAAATTGAGCTCAAAGACTTTGTGGAGCTCCCTCTCTGCAGCAATAAATAAAACAAGGGTATCTGTGGGTTATGTTTTCTTAGGATGGCAAAGCAGCACAGAATATTCCAGTGCTACGACATATGCAAAGAGCAAAGCCAAAATCTTCAGATACCCGCTGGTTCAAGTTCCTCAGAATAGCTGAGCCTTCCCAATTAATATTGCTCTTTTTATTTCTAGGGATGTCTGAAATTTCAACTAATTTTACTTACTGCAACTACAGACATTGGTGCCTAACTTCCATCCTCCACTTAAAAACCCCTGCTCTGACAAAACTGCATTTGATACCCAGCCATGCTGACAGCTGTCAAGCCTGTTGTGCAATACCAGCTCAGTAAGGCAATGGATCACCTGCAAAAAGATGATTCACTGCTGTCTCACAGAGGGATGACAATAAGCAAACAGTAGCTCACTACAAACTCCTCACATGCACTGTGAACAAGCATGGGTTTTGTTCTGAGTTCATGCTGTTTTCACACGCTAAATTATTGTGTATCCACAGCCACCCTGACACCGGTGTGAGAGGACCCTGCAGTTTCATTAGTTAAAGATGTGGGACTACTTAAATTTTTAACACAACCAAATTTTCCTTTTGGCACTGCCATTTTCTCATAATATTCCCTTCCTTCATCAGAGAAAGCTTTTAGAGGAAAAAGAATTTTTTTTTCCAAAGAGATCATATAGTAACACATTTTTGTATACATCCCCATCCCATCTCTGTTTCTTGCAATGCTTTAAGCAGTCACTGAAGAAGGGGTTTTTCAAACATGCATGTCCAAAGTCCATGTATGGCTTCTACTTTTTTTCCATAATTCAAATGTTATTTCAGGATTTGCTGATTAATTTTCAACTGAGTAGCTACAATACGGGTATCTGTGCTTGGGCTCATTTCTCCTTTACAAAAACTGTGCTAAGCTGCTATACTTGAAAGCCTGCTGGGACTGCAGTTCCTGGAAAAGTCAGAAGACCTTAGCAACTGCAAAAGCCCAGATGGTTTAACTAGGCAAGTATGTCTGTATTTCACTATTGACCAACATCAGTTCTGCAAATCCATCAGCCATTGGGAATTCCCAGCTCCGGCAAAGGAGTCAACTCCTTTTAGCTCTGCCCCACCCAGTTACAGCAGTAGGGTCAAGTCACGTCCTCTGCTGGGATACAACAGGGAGCAAACAAGAGCAAGAGAATGACACAGTGTAAACAGCTTTTGAAATATGCAAATTCTGCCTAAGCAAAACATCACAGGCACAGCGAGCAAAGAACCAAGGGCCTGAGAAGTTTTCAGAAGGAAGTGATTTATTATCATTGCAGATGAATTGCTTTGGGAAACAATCCTTTATCCTGCCTGCTTTTTGTTTATGTAAAAACAACTCTTAAAGAGAAATCAAAGAATAACCAGCAAAAGCCCCAAGAAAGATAGCTACAATATTGTAAAAGGCACTTACTCTCCTGTAGCAGGAACATTGCTACTGACTTGTGATACGTGGGCACTGTATAAAAGAAAAGCAGAAGAAAGTTACATTTTATTATCAAAATAAGGTCTTTAAACCTCTTGCACTTTGCAGTGCTAACATTTAAAGGTCTGAGCTGTCCCAACAACAATTGTGTACACCTGTCACAGGTTTTCCCCTTAAGGAATTTTCACATTCACTGACGGGGCACATTTTGACAAGTCAATATCCTCAACAATTATTTTCTCTGTTATTCCCATGCAATAGGCAAAGGTCTAACAGCAAGTATTTCAACCTCAACATGTTACAGATTTTTTCTAATATATTTTTGTTTTCTTGTGGGCTTTCTGCTGCTGATGTTTCAGCCTCATCACAGAAGTCTTTGCTTTTTGAAGCTGACTTGAAAATGTATACGCTTAATATTTAACTGCTCTCTGTTTAACTATTCTCTCTTTGAACATGCTCAAAGAACTTATTCATATTCTTCGCTTCACACTTTAAAAATTAAAATCCATGCATGCTTCTTTTTACCTCAGTCTCTTATCAGGCTCAGGAAGAGCTGATACAAAATGCAGATGTTATCACTTACTATTCAGAGCTCTTCTACACAAGCTGACCTGGCACAGATGTCACTGCTTTCTTCCTTCTGCCAAGCTGAGTCCCATCCTGACCCTTTTTCACTCACTGACTCAGATGACTTGGCCTTGCAGATAAGGTGGCACTGCCTATTCATCCCTCCTGCAACCTCCCTTAAGTCAAATAAACTACAGGCCTAGGGGTTTCATTTCAAATCATCCCCATATCAGCAGAGTACAACCAGAGGATAAATCCCAATTGTGGTCAGGGTACAAAAGCCAAGCTGAATGCAAGATGCTTTTCCTTCCATAATAGCCATTCATCGTTTTCAGTCTTCACCAGTTTCTCTCAAATTATTTCATTGCAAAACCATCAACAACTGATTTGCCTTCGTTACCCAAAGGCTTCCTTTCTGCTTCCCTTGAATACTTTGCACTTCACTGTATGGGGCTAGAGCTAGCTAAGAAGCTGCAGCACTCCCAGATAGCTACTTTACTGGCTTTACTGGGTTTGAGTGTCATTTGGGCAGCAGGCAGCAACAGAGGAAGAGAAGGATAAATGAGGGGTCACTAGAGCTAATCTAACAAAACCAACAAACCAGTATGACTCCTCCCCACCAACACCCAGCTGCAAATTACACTTGCAACGGGCTTCAGGCTAAGCTGGTGTGTTCACCTGGGGTCTAACCACACACACATCCTTGCCAGTCCCAGCTTCACTCAGTGCTACTCTCCAGTCCTAGCACAGGTCACCAGAGTGGTGACACATCAGGAAAGTAGTCATGGACTTGCCAGTATGTTCCACATTACCTGAGCCGGACCTGAGCAGTTGTGTCATTCAGATCATTTCATTAAGACATACAAACAACTATTACTGTACCTACTATTACAGATAAAATATTTGCATACAGGAAACAAAATTTGCAAGATCATACTCTTCTCATATCTAAGATCTTGACTATCGACTACAGGATGGCATTGGAATTTGAAGTGCACTTTTCAAGCACCCTACTTGCTTTCCTGTTTCTTTATAGGAACTATGTGGCCTCTTCCCAGCCCAAAACGTTTTAAAGACCTGGTCTCCCAGGGAGACATATCAGCAAGTAAGGTGCTAGTGTGGTAGGCTAACCCACATTATAAGATAAAATTCATGTGCTTGCTACAGGTCCTATACCTATGGGAGAAGACTAATGCTGTATCACCTTTTTATAGTACCTACATGCAAGCCAGACTGAATGAGGTTGTCTTTCATATCACACTTTTTTCTGTTTTCATGCCAGGAAAGTGGTAGTGGAGAGGAAGAAAGGATTATTTGGGTTTTAGCTTTTCTAAGACATCCCTAGGATATAGGTTTTTCTACCAACAACCATTTTTTAAACACCTCAGTACATTCTAATTCACAGTTAACTGTGTGCTTTACTAATGCCAATCCAGTTTTAAGTACATTAACTTGACTAATTTTTAATGACACATAACAATTAATTTACTGTATCTGGAAAAGCCCCATTCAGGCAATGCAGATTCTGTAAGAAAGACAGTAACATGGTGAACTACTGACAAATAACAAGGAAATCTGTATCCGTTACATGCCAGCTGAGTGGATAACTACAAAACGAAGCTGACATTCTGATTTTATTGTACTGAATCCAAGTTTATCCTTAGCTCTGTGATAACTTAATGCTCTTTTATTAGCCTCCTCTCAGTAAGATAGATTTTAAATCAGAGCTTTCCTAGATGCACTAACTTCCTTTTAATTCTACAGTTGGTAACTTTTCTGGCTATTTAATTTTGAAGCTTTATTTAAATATGTTGCTAAATTGCTTTACTTTCCACCAACCTTTCTTACACCAAAGAACTTCACATCCAAAACAAATGGTGGAGGGGAGAGTTACACAGTGGTTTTAGGATTCAAGCCTGCTGCAGGACAGAACAGGTGGTGCAAGAGCATGCTGGCAAACCCAGGCAAAGACACCACCCTGTAAGGATTTCAGAGCCCAGACAAGCAACCAGGCAGGCAGGGTGTATCCTGTGGGGTTTCCAAACTTCCTGGGTGGCAGAAGTCGCTGTGCTGTTGGATTTATGTGGAGCAGGCAGGGCAAGCCATGCCTGGAAGAGCCCTCTTGGCATGCCTGCCTGCCTGTGCCGGCAGCTGCCTTGCTCGGTAAATCATCCAGACAATGGGAACTCATGTTCTACTTCAGTTAATTATTTTCTCCTCACATCTGCTCCATTTCACTGATACGTATGGTCAATTATCTCCACAGCTAGATTATCTGTATTGGATTATGCAGTTGCTGCTGCAGAGCACGCTGAGAAATACTGACTTTTCATAGAAATTACAGATTTTCCTCAGGTGACTGAAGGCAGCAGGAAAGTTTCCCAGTGCTGGGTGACTTTTACTTTCAGAAAGCCATCCAGAAAACCTGTATAAAGGCACAACTGTTTTAAGCACTATGAACTTTTGAACTTGTTTCTTATGACCCTCATGCTTTTCCTTTTAGGAAGTCTGACCTCTAGCACTTCCCAGTTTTGTCTAACTTGTTTACCCAAGTCTTTTGCTTACTTTCAGAGGTGCTCTATCAGCTCTTGATAATGTCTTACTTCACACTTCTTATTGCATGGCCTCCTTTCTTCTGTTTCAGCATTAAGGACAAGGTGGTATTTTCCATCACCATTAAATCTCACCTGCGCCCCATAACTAGTACTCCCTAAGTTTAAAAGATGTGCACTGGGGTGAGAACTATCTCATGCAATGCCTGCACCTTGTCTGGTCTGCGTTGGGCATCTTGTGATAGCAGATGTTGGATATCAATGCCGCTTCTCCTGATTTCTTTCATTCAAGCCACTATTGAGCAAAGTATCTTAGCATCTAGACATAAAGAGGAAAAAAAAAAACCACATCAAACAGAGCAAACTAGGAAACCAACACACTGGCATAGTGTTTTCCTAGATTGGGTTTTCATTTATGAAGTAATTTAATTAATTCTTGACAATAGCTAATGGCCTAATTCATAAGCTACACTTGCAGCCTGGTACTAAAGTCACCTGACTGAGATGTATTTACAGTCCATCTGCTTTATTCAGGAAGGAAAGGTGCCTTTTATTCTTGTTTTTGCTTTTTTAAAAGCCAAGCACAACAGTAAGAAAGCCTCAACAGATGCAAAAACTTTTTGCTATTTCATCAAAGTTGAGGATGTTTAAATGGCTTTGACATTACAGATGGGAAATTCCTGAAGTCCTCCTGAATGTAGTATTTCAATCTCTGATCTAGAAAGTTCCTATTCATAGGTATTTATATGGTCTAAATGCTATCCACTCTCCACACTGTGACATGCAATACTGCAAACTCACGTGGGATCCATTTTAGGACAACTACTTCATTTGACACACTTTCACCAAAGAGGAGTGTTGTGATGACATACAAAATATGAAAATAATGAGTTTAAAATCAAAAGGGCTGTGCTCATAGTTACTGGCATGTCCTATCACACAGAGGACACACTTTCATTATTTTTTCAGCACCTTCACACTTTCACAGGCTCAGATCAAATTATGCTTCCTTTAAAGATGGTAAATTATTTTTTACACTACTTTGTTACTACACAGAAAAGTAACCCCACTAAAAGCAACTTTATTCAGGGTTCCTAATGTTTTTCACTTGCACCTCCTTTATGACAGATGCACACTGACACCTACTGCTTGGAGCAGAGACAATCCTATAGAGGATTCATAGAGGCCACATGATTCAGCCTGGTGAATTTGCATGGCTGTGTCTGTGCAGGCTCCCCTGCAGAGCAGGGAAATAATCCTCAGGGAGCCTCAGACCTGCGTGGCAGCCAGGCAGTCAGAGCAGGGGCACCCAGTGGCCTGATGTTTACTGTAGCCAGTGTAGGTGTGATGGACATGAGCCCACATCACATAATGCAATCACGATTTCTGATGGGACCCAGCACTCCTTTGGACTTAGGATCTCTTATGGCACGTCCCATGGAGAGAGAAGTGTCCAATGTGAAGGTGGCCAAGCAAATTTCTGAGCAGGTGTGAAATCCAGAGCAAAGCTTTCCAGTTTCTTCAGGAAACTGACCTGAGAACAAACAGCACAAAACATCTTACCCAATAAACTTCAGGGTAAGAATATCTGACCTGCATTATTTAAAGAGCTGTCTCAAATAAAAACTGTTAGAAGGAGAAACAGTCAGTTGTACTGAATAATGCTCACAGGAGTACTTCTAGGAAAAGAACCAGGCAAAACTGTCCATTGCCTTGCCCTGCACTCATGAGTATTTAATGCAATCTTTGGCATTGCTTGTGATGTCAGGTCTCATCACAATTTCAGTTTAATGCTCTTCATGTTAACAAGGAAGCTCCACACTACAAAGCTTTAGCTTTTCTCCCCTATAATACCACTCTGGCTTATCTCAGAACATAGCCATCAGGGAGCTCCTCTGAAAGCATCTACATGACTAACATCACATCTAAGGTACCTACGCCAGCACAAAGCATGCCTGAAGATTCCCTGTCTTCTGGAAACTCACTGCACACGTGGAGTGGAATTGTGCTTACAGAGACTTGCTGCTGCCAAGCTTCATTACCTGAAATTGCTGAGTGTTTCTCAGTACTGATTACTCAATGCAGCTGGTATTCACAGTCTCACTAAAAAATTATACAAGGAGCAGTACAAGGAGCACTTCTAAACAATCTCAACTCCCTTTACCAAAAGGCTTTGATACAAAAGATTTTGGAACATAAACGCCTGAATGACTCCCTAGAACAATCACCTAGCAAGGTTTTACTGTTCTTTTAACAGAAGAGAAATATTCTTCTGTTATGGTACTGAGCAAAGCTGAGCCAACAAATTATCTAATTAAGGACTACAGAGAGGGAGATGATAACTCTGGTCAGCAGTAGCTGAATGGATTCAACCTCCAGGTCTCTCAAACTGGTCAAGCTGACATCATCCTTGTTAAACCCAATGAGAAAGGGCTCCAGATATGAAGTTAATAATTTTCTGCCCAAATATATTAATAAACTGTTTGTACACATTCTCTCTTGCATCAGTATTGTTATTTAACATAAACATTCTTCCCTCTCTGTCTAAAACTCAGGGGGAATATGTGTGCTCTGGTTCATTTCTTACGGTAGCTAGGACCTCCATGCTCTTTTCTCCATCTTCCAACACATCAACACATTTAATCATCTTCACAAAACAAAAGCCTTTGGAACACGAGTGACTTGAAACTGTGTAAGGCTTCACCTCTCTCTTGCACTGGGGTATGCATACTTCTAAGTATACTGAAAATACTTCCTTTATATATCCACTGTCATTGATTACTTCACCTTGAGTATTTTCATCCCATGCCTCCCTTTCATCCCTCCATGAACAAGTATGTTCACATACTACTTTTTCCCTGGCATTTCCAAATGTGAGGAACTTTCATGACGAAGATTTTCATTATCAGACCTCAGGTATACAACTTTATCACTTATGTAATTATTTTTATAGTATATATCTAAAATTTGATGCTTATCTTTAAAAATATATAAAAATATCTTATATATAAGACAGTGAGATATTTTATAAATATATCTATATATCTCACTCTATATAACATCTCACTACCACATATATTCTTCCAGAGGATGCTGCCAACCCATTCACCCTCCTAAATTTCTGCTATAAGCTCAATTAATGAACATTATTTTACTTTATTATGCTAGTGGCTATTAAGGAAAAGAAGTTCATGGCACTTAAGGATCTCCAGCAGCAATCCCGTTCCTCTCCTACCAGCAATATCTATAGGTCTCACATCCTCTCTACCCATCTTTAAGTTCTAGTACTCATGCCCACTTTTTCCATATAGATAGCATGATATAAAACATTTTACTGACATCAGATAGATTAGGTATAGTCCTTTTCTTACTCTCACTGGAAAATCTTTTAAAAAATAATGTAGTTGTACTGGTGTTATCACTCTTTACAAACCCATGTCACATTTTGCCTTATTTACTGCTTACTCTCATACTGCTACAGACTGTTTATTCCCTTACAAAGTAGCAGTGGTGATAAAGCCTTGACCTCCCAAATACTGAAAGAAAAAAAACCCCAACAAATCAGTGTCATTTTAAGAAACAGTATATTTACTGGTGGCATTCTGACAGTTCTGATTTAAAAGTTAATACCTTCAGCATTTGTCTTATTGTTAAAAACAACCAGGGAAACATCTCAATTGTTAGTTGACATGGTACAGCACTGAATAATCAAGTCTCTGATTCGATCCTATTAAAACTGATTTATGGAGGGTGTGCTGGTTCTGGCTGGGGTAGAGTTAATTTTCTTCCCAGTGGCTGGTATGCAGCTGTGTTTTGGATTTTTGCTGAACACAGGGCTGATAATACAGAGATGTTTGTGTTATTGCTGACCAGGACTTAGACAGAGCTAAGGCTTTTTCTGGTTTTTGTACTGACAGGGAATTTCAGGGTGCATGGGAGGCTGGGAGGAGACAAAGCCAGGCCAGGTGACCCAAACTGACCAAAGGGATATTCCAGACCATATGACATCATGCTCAGTGTATAGAGTGGAGGGAAGAAGGAGGTGACATTTGGAGTGATGGCATCTGTCTTCCCAAGTAGCAATTACATGTGACAGGGCCCTGCTCTCTGGAGATGGCTCAACACCTGCCTGCCCACAGGATGCACTGAATGAATTTCTTGTTCTGCTTTGCTTGTGTGCTCTTTCCTATTAACCTGTCTTTATCTCAACCCAAGAGTTTTCCAGCTCTTACCAGTCTGATTCCCTACCAAATCATGCTGGTGGGAAAGTGAGCAAAGCAGCTGGTTGCTGGCTGTGGTGACAGAGGGACACAATGTTCCTTCTGTCTGGCAAAAGCCAAGTATTATGCAGTGTTTGGAAGTTAAAGAGCTCTTGTTCCCACTTACTTAACTTGTATAATTATCTATATGGAACTACTGCATAAACACAGCAGTGACCACTCTGTACCCAAACATTCATGATTCACTTGAATGATTACTACAGCAATATTTCAAACTATGCAAGTGTGGCTGGTAGCAATAGAAATAGATTTGACCATCAGACAGCTAAAACAGACAGTCTCCCCTTCCTTGCCCATGGTGTGAAATGCAATTCCTACATATGTCATGCACAGCCTCTAGGGCAACAATTAGAACCTTCAAAGTCACACAGAATAAACTGGCCACCCACTTAAGTTCTCAGTTGTTGAAGCACCAGGGATTGCCCAGCCAGAACCAGCTCTCCCGCCAAATTTCACTGCACATGGCAACTGCCCTCAGGAGGACACATTTCTGATGCGTTACAAACAGAAGCAAGACTTACAAGCTGCTACCTTTATTTACAAGTAACTGTATCCCAGCAATGTTACAAAAGACACGGCCTTGGCAGGAAGCCTGTGTGTCAAGGTGTGTGGCTCCCTCTCTACTCCTCCCAGCCATTTCTTCACTTCCCAGCTATGTGTTCATTCCCGACTTTCCCCTTCCTATCTGCAAGACAGATTCCCATGGAAACCCATCCCTTAATTTCAGTGGACATACTCATTCTTTGTTCTCTTCCCTCATAAGCCTACATCTCTATTTAAGATGTTCAAATTTAGTCCCTTCCTCTCAGAAATGTCCTGCTTTGATACCAATTTTCTCAGGTCCACTCCTTGCTCCCCATCTCTCCCTGGTGATCTTGACAACGTCAGTCAAAGAGAATTTCCTTCGTGGATCATTCTTCTATAATCCAGGAAAGGGCTTGGAAGCACAGTTTTGAGCAGTAAGACAGATGGAAATGTAATGAAACCCTAAAATCACTTGAAGGTCACATTTAGCGGGAAAGAAAAACAAAGCAGCAGACAACTTTCAATGGAAAGACAGGATGAAGATTTAAACTAGGGAAAATTTGAGACAGGGGAATGTATTTATGCAACTACAAAATAATCTCCTGAAGGAAAAGGAAGAATCTCCTTTGACAATTTGGAGCTTTTGATGCACACACTGGGCAACATCTGCACAAATAGATTGCAGGGAATGACAGTGCATCAACAGGAAGGCAAACAGGATTGTGCAGCCAGGCTAGTCCATGAACAATTCCCTAATACATTTCTGCACAGTATGCATTAACTGCACTCTTCCTAGGTTTCATGTTAGAAAGGCTCTTTAAGAAAAAAACCCAAGCAACAAAGATAAACAGGAATATATGTCAGAGATTAAAACAAATTCAGACATCACTGTAAGAATTCCAATTATCACTGTTCTCACAAAAAGCACCACTAGGATTTCTTTTGTTTAAACTCTGCAGAGATCAAAGAACCCAATTATAATATCTGGCCCTTCCTTCTCTGCAGCCCTTCATCATTAACTGCTCTGGCTCCTGTTCTGTATTTCTACTAAGTATAAATGAGAGCACTGGAAGTGAGCCTGCTACTGAAGCAAGCAGAGCAAACTTTCACAGATGTCAACAGAGTTAGACCCCTTTTACAGGCAGTGACTTTGCCCTCCAATTGGCAAAACAAGAAACAATTTGCTCAAATGCAGCATTGAGCACCATTCCCTCCAGTGATGCTTGCTGGTTACCCAGGCACTCTCCTGCTTTTCTAGGCTGCAGCAGGGAACTGGATGGGCTGCTGACTCACCATCTGGTTCCTGGTTTCTTTCTGAGCAGCACATGTGCCAGTTCCTCAAATCCTGTAGCAAAAATCTCTCCTGTGCCTGCAGATAAGCTACTCAGGCATCTAAGCTACGTAACAAACCAAATAAAAGAGGAAAACCGTGTCCACCTTGTAATGAAGATCTTAAACCCTGGCCTCCTCTCTAAATACAAAAGAATGTCAACAGAGATGGTATCTACAAAGACTCATCCCACTAAGTGAGCAATAATTACAAATGTAAAATGAACACTCACTTGGATTACACAGTCTGTTCAGCACTTCCAAACCCCTCCCCACATTTAATTCCAATAGCAAGTCAATCCCACACACAAAAATAAATGAAAACAACTGAGTAAATACCTCACATAGAAGGGTGACATAGGCCGCTCATCTTCTTGGGAGCTAAAAACAAAACATATTTTGTAAGTTAGTATGCAGCTCTGTCTTGTATTTGCAGCTCAAGATACTCACTCTTACAAAGCAGAGATAACAAAAGTGAAATTGCACCCGTTACAGAGGTAACATTTAAGTCTATTTTGTCCTCTGTTTGACACATGGAAGAAAGCTTTAAGTTACTTTCCTTAAATCCTGGCAATCCAACTCCTTTCTCAATGTCCACAAATGTGGCGTAACACATCTCCTGCTAGACAGCCAGGAGTCATTCAGACTCTGCAACAGTGCTAGGGCTATTCCCATAGCAACAATAAAGCATTTTGCCAGGAAAACCGAGAGAGTCCTTTGCTGTCTGCTGCTCCAGAATTAAACAATCTGCCTATTAAAGCCAAACTTGGAAAAAAAAATGGCATCTTGAGTAACCAAAGAAACAGCCATGGCCATAGGTGTATGAGGCTACCTCTTCTCCAGTTTTATCACTCCTGTGAAAAGTTTATTTGAATAAAGTTTCTGTAGGCTTGAGATCAAGGATTGCAACTAGCTAACATGGAGGTTCCCTGATAAAATGTTTAGTTGTGTTTTAGTCGTCAACTGGCCTGCCCCAACATAACGACCTGGCAAGTGACTTACCAGCCTTGATCCAGCTCACTGGTGCCTGTGCTGGCACAAGGGTAAGAATGAGCTGGGACACAGAATCACACATGATCTTTTGAATTTTGAGGGATTGTATTTATTGGCTTATAAAAGCTGCTCTAAGCACTCGATAAAGGGGAAAGGACCATCTCTGTAGGATTTGCAACTAGGAAATCAAGTACTCAGGTACTTTCTGCAGCCTCCACTGGAGCCAGCATAAAGCACCCTCAGCAAGATGAGCTGAAACTGGCCTGCAGCCAGGTAAGTGCCCTGCCCTCACACTGTACAGAGCCAGAGGCAGATTTAACCATGGCCCATTTCCAACCCAGCCAATGTTTTAACAGATCCACAAAAATGAACGCCAAATTCGCTGAGAGGAGCAGAGCATAAAGGAGGAGGCAAGATACAAGGGAGTCAAAAAGGGAGACTGACAGATAAGCCAGTGTTCCAGAGAAATAATCCCAGGGATTCATTCCCCCAACTAGAATATGGAAAGATTCACTAAGAGACATCTACAGAAAAGACCTTAAAGCACATGATGCGGGAAACCTGAAATACTGATTTGAGGGTAACACCAAACACCAAACACCACAGACCGGAAGGAAGAGAAACTGACTCTGAAATCATTGTGGTCTGCCAAAACTTCATCAGTTCTGTAAGCAACAGTGACTGGACAGCCTTCAGAAGCTCCCCAAGAAGACTGGGAGCACAGTTGCTATTAGAAACCTTGCTGCCACTTCCACAAGCCTGTCTTCAGTAGCCTGGACAAACTGCAGTGCCCAGAGTTGCTGCTGCTCCCAGAGCCAGGCAGGACAGAGTAGTG